TTTGTAGATTACATTATTTTGTCAGAAGGTTAAGATTCCCCTGCATTGGAAAGTGATCTTGGCTACTGGTATCCCAGTCATTAGCAGTGAAGGGAAAGGATGCTGGGAGGTGTGTTCTCTGAGGTTGGGGTATTCTGTCCTGACCCCTTCAGAGCCTGGACCTTTCCTATCTTCCCATTTCTCTCTGCCAGCTGGTATGCAGTTTTGGAAGCTGCACAGTCAGTGCCAGGCCATGTCATGACCAGGTCTGTACAGCTTGGTGTTTTGTTTCTGGAAATTCAGCTGATCTCTGCCATGTGTGCTTAGTAACCCTTGGGTTTCAAGAAGAGGCTGGAACAGAGTGCTTCCAGAGTGTTGATGGATCAGAGAGTCAGAGAGTAGACCCCACGACCACCACGTGAAGACAGACTGGTGACACGCCCACTCAGAGCACCAGGGAACAACTTTTACTTGTTTTAGTAATTGGTTTAGGCACGGGAGTGTCTATACAAAATCTGGACACCAACCCCTCAGAGGACTACATCCTAGCTCTGTGTCTATCTGCTAGTGTCTCATTGAATTTGTAGCTAACTTCTGCCATCGCTCCAACTGGGCTCATAGACTAGTTTAAAAAACAAAGAAAGGTTGGACTATGGCTGGTGAGATGGCTCAGAGGAAAAATGTGTTTTCTGTCAAGACTGATGACCTGACTTCAGTTCCTGAGCCCCATTCAGTGGAAGGAAAGAACCAATTCCAAGTTATCTTCAGTGTGCCATGGAGATTGTCCTTGTGCCCCCCCACCAGTAAAATGAAAAAAAAAGAGAGAAGTTGGAATCATACAATGGGAGAAATTAGCCTGTAAATTCTGTTGGGTAGGGAAAACCCGTCTTGCACAATTGCCTTCTTGAGTTTACCTCGTACAGCTTTCTACAAGTAGCTGAGAGAAAGGAAGGAGATCCAAGCCCTGCTAGCCAGATGGCCAGCTCGTCCTGGGGTTCAGCAAGTTGAGGTGCTTGGCTGAGCTGCCCTCAAAGTTCCCTGGTATTTTTTCCTGGTATTTTTAACTATCTTGGTTTAAGTCCATGGTGCGGATATAAATAGGGCTGAGTAGAGACACTTGGACAAGCTGATAATTAAGGTCTCTTCCAGCCTGTGTCCTTAAGTATTTATTTTGTGCTTATTCACTGGAGAGGCTCAGTCCTGTATTCGGGAGGAGCAAACAGGAGGCAGGTTAGCTGGGATTTAAACACACCATCTAACAGAGCCTCACCATTAAGCAGAACCTAAAATAAAAATCTGTTTGCTGGCACTAAATCTCTTACCACTAATCTCTTCTCCTCAGCAGCTTATCAAACCACTTATTTAGGAGCAATGTGTCACAGATAGGAATCTTGATCTTAGGGCACTGCCCTGGGGACGTTATGGTGCTACTTTATGGGTGGGGACCGGGGACAGCTGCCCAGATGGCCACTGCCAGTCAAGCATGGTCCTTCAGATCTCATTTCAATGGAACTTGGATGACGCTGGGATTTTCTTCTCCAGAGTCACTGCCCTTGAGAAACAACACCCAGCCTGTCCTAGGGTTTCTATTGCTGTGCTGAAACACCGTGACCAAAGAAACTTGGGAAGAAAAGGTTTAGTTTTTGATTATACTTCCACATTACAGATCATCACCAATGGAAGTCAGGACAGGAATGCAAACAGGGCAGGAACCTGGAGGCCGGAGCTGAGGAGGCCATGGAGGGGTGTTGTTCCCCCCCCAATTTTTCAATCTTCTTTTTTTTTAATCTTTTTTAAAATTAAATTAGAAACAGCTTGATTTGCATGTCAATCCCAGCTCCCTCACCCTCCCCTCCTCCCCTGCCTCTCACCAACCCTCCAACCTCCCACCCAATCCCTACTCTGCTCCCCAGGAGAGTGAGTCCCTCCATGGGGGATCTCCAGAGTCTGTCATATCATCTGGGGCAGGGCCTAGGTCCTCCTGGAGGGATACTGCTTACTGGCTTGCTTGTTCCTTGTGGCTCAATCAGCCTGCTTTCTTGTGGAACTCAGGACCAATGACCCAGGGGTGTCCCCTACACACAATGGGCCGGGCCCTCCCCCATTAATCACTAATTATTAAAATGCTCTTCAGGGTTGCCTACAACTTGATGTTATGGAGTATGGAGACATTTTTCTCAGTTGAGGTTCCTTGCTTTTTGTTTTCTGAGACAGGGTCTCAGCATGTACCTCTGGCCATCTTGGAACTCATTATGTAGATCATACCTGGCATGACTAAAAGTGTGAATGACTGACTGAGCTTCCCTCCTCTCTGATGACTCTAGCTTGTGTCAGGTTGACATAAAACCAGTCAGCACACACGTCCGAGCTTACAATCCAATGAGTCAAGCTAGGACAGGAACCGAAGCAGGTGCATTGGAGAGTGCCCCTTCCTGGCTTGCTCTTCATGGCTTGCTCAGTCTGATTTCTTAGACAAGCAAGGCCACTTTCCTAGGCATGGCCTGGCCCACAGTGGACTGGGCCCAATCAATCACTAGCCAAGGCAGTTCCCCACAGAATTACCTACAGTCTGATGGGGGTATTTTCTCACTTAAGGTTCTGTCTTCCTAGATATGACTAAATTTGTGTCTAGCTGACAGATTCCAGCAGCCCAGGTTCCTTGACTGGTGGAGGCCTCCCGCACTTCCTTCTCTGTGGCCGTGGTTGTGTTCACTGGGTGAACTTCCCCCACTGCTCGTCACTGTTCACACCTATTGGTCCTGCTTCCTGAGGAACAGCCCTTCTGAGAAAGGAAAGCTGGGAAACAGACAGGAAAGAAAGGCCTAGGGAGGCCCAGGAAGGATGCTCAGATGGAACCAAAGCTGTGAGCGTGTGAGTGGCCACTCTCCTAGGGCAGGTGGCGGCAGGTGTGTCTGTAAGAGTTCTGAGGCTACCAGGCTTTGGGGACCATTTGGTCTCTGTCCTGTCTACTCACCTCCGCTATGCAGCAGGGAGCAGCCATGCATTATACACGAAGCATGGGTGTGGCTTGAGCTCACTAAGGCTTTCTTTGTGTGTGTGGTGTATGAATGTGTATGTGTTTACATGTGTTCCTGTGTGTGGATACAGGATGTTCCTCTATCGCTTACTACTATCTGGAGCTTACTACGAATTGAAGCTTAAGACAAATTGTGTTAGAGTTTAGTAGAAAAATGGTATAGGTTAGGTGGAAATCTTGGCAGCTACCGGGGAGAGCGAAAGAAAATGCCATGTCTTTTAAGTTAGAAATAGCTTATTAAGAATGGAGAAGGTTCTCCGAGGAACACAATGGAAGTGGGTTAGTGAACTGAGCACGAAAGCATCTGGCCATGTGGTGTGTGGTCTGTTAACACTCCCGCTCATCCTATGCGTACACATACTCGCATTCATGCATGTGCGTACACACATTGTGTGTGTGCTCTGTATTTTTTGTTTTTTGTTTTTGTTTTTCGAGACAGGATTTCATTAGCTGTTCCTGGCTGTCCTGGAACTCATTCTGTAGATCAGAGTTTTCTGTTTAACAGTCCTGGCTGTCCTGGAACTAGTTCTTGTAGACCAGGTTGACCTCAAACTCACAAAGATCCGACTGCCTCTGCCTCCCAAGTTCTGGGATTAAAGGCGTGTGCTACCATTGCCTGGTTAGGTAATAGATTTCTATAAATAGTTTTTCTTTAATTGTAGTTGGGCTGGCTATGACTATTCTATCTGTTATCAATAGCCCTTGCAGAGGCCTGTAAAGCTTGACTCATTGTCCTTTAAAAAATGATTAGATTTTATGTGTATGAGTGGTTTGTCTATATGCATGCCTCTGTACCTACCACATGTGCGCCCAGTGCCCACAAAGTTCAGAAGAGGACATTGAATCTCTTGAAAAAGGAGATGGTTGGGAGCCGCCGTTGGAAGGCTGGAAATCGAATCCTGGCCCTCTGGGAAAGCAACGAGTGCTCTTAACTGCTGGGCTGTCTCTCCAGCCCTCCATTCAGCTTTCATGGGGTGCTGGGGAATCAAAGGGAGGTCTCCATGCCTTTGCAACAAGCCATCCACAACATTTAGTTATCAGCCATGTTCCTCATTGGCTGACTGCAAACGTGGAGACTACAGGATAGCTGAATCTTGTGAGTTGGGCAGTGAGTGTACTACACCCAGGCCCTTTCAGTGCTCACTTAGGAAAGCATGGTGAAAAGTTATCTAGAAATGCTTAAGGACAGTAAGGAAGCTTTGCTGAACTTTGGACAGTAGAGGAGACGGGCTCCCCCTGGAGGCCATCTGGGGTAGCGGCAACAATGACGGAAGAACTGGGCCATGGGAGAAGGTTGTGTGTCCATTGCTTCAGGTTATCTTTTGCTGTCAGTACTGTGGAGGCGCTGTGTTTGGTTTTAAAAGAGGGAGCAGGGGCTGGAGAGATGGCTCAGCCGTTAAAGGCTAGGCTCACAACCAAAAATAAAAGAGGGAGCAGGGCCATTGAGATGGTTCAGTGGGTGAAGGTGCTTGCTGCCAAGCCTGATGGCCGAGTTCAGTACTTGGAAGTAGAGAATTAGAGAACTGACTCTCGCACGGTGTCTTCTGACCGCCACATATATGTTGTGGTGCATGCATGAACACATGTGCTGCCCACACCAACACACACACACACACACACACACACACACACACACACACACACACACACAATCAGTATCTATCTCCAGATATGTTCTCTGATAAATTAATGTATTATCTGTATGTATCCCAGAGCTCTTTCATTTCAGATATATTGCTGGAAAATCTCCCCCACGTTTTTGGTGTTTTACGGTGCTGGGCTCCACACTCAGGGCATGTACATGTCAGCTAGACCTGCAGCCTCTGATCTATAGCCCACATTCTTAGTGATGATGATCTGGGTTACACACGTAGGCCAAGAGTTCGTTCATTTTTAGGTAATCAGTAGTTTTGTTTGTTGCCTCTTTTACACATTCATTTTTAGCATTTAGTGATGTACCTTAGCATTTTCCTTGTACCAACAGGATCCTTACTACAGATTTAATGACCTCAACTACAGATGGGTTTCCTTAGAAAACTGGACTTACAGCACGGAATTCAAACTCCCCTTTAATGTCAGGTGTGTATATTCTATATCACATAATCTATATATACATATTATATAATTGCCTGAGTTTTTTTTTTATCTTTGTCTGCTTAGGTTGTATCTCAGAGTTAAATCAGATTAAGTCTTTGTGTCATTGAAGTGACTATGCAATTATGTTTTGTTTTCTACATCAGGATGGTGTCACTGATCATCAGTGTGTCTTAGGGAATAATTTCTCCAGTGGTATACTTGAGTCCTCTAAATCTTGTTAGTTCTTTAAATACATTTCCTCCTCTCTACCTCCCTAGTAACTAGGAGAATGTATTGATTGGCAGTATTTTTGTGAAGTGTTTCTGTGTGTGTGTGTTTCTGTGTGTGTGTGTGTGTGTATTTGTGTCTGTGTGCATGTGTGTGTGCGTGCATGTGTTATGTGTGTGTGTATGTATGCATGTGTGTATGTCTGTGTGTGTGTGTGTGTGTGTGTGTGTGTGTGTGTGTGTGTGTAGGGATGGTAGTTGGCTCTGAACCCAGAACCTCATGCATTACTTTATGTCCCTAGCCCTAGAGTATTGTCAGTAAGATCAGAGATACATCACTTTTATTTTTAGTGCTAAACAACCATTGATACTATGACCTTGCCCTTGTACTAACTACATCCTGGGGCCATGAAGAAAAGTACAGTTATTATTTTCAGTTATGTTTTGTTATTTTCAGAAAATATTTTAGGTGAAGCAGAATGTAAGCAAGTATATAAGCCACCATGATTACTAATTTCTAAAAATTATTTTGTATATGGCATTTCTGATTATTACTTATTATCTCTTTAAAATCTAAAACCACAGACAGGGGTAGAGAGCTTGTCTACCGAGCATAAGCCCTGGGTTCAATACCCATAGCTGAAAAACAAGCCAGATGGAATTATTGTGTGTTCCATGCTCTTGTTTCCAGGTAACGTTTAAAATATTTCTCACAAGAATCCTGTCTCCTATTGCATAGTTACTTCCAGGTTCCTCTGGGCTCCCTGAGACTCTGTTTTTAAAAAAAAAGAAAGTTCCATTTCTCTTTGAACATAACACATTCCAAATCCAGCAGCTGCCGTCCCCTATTGAAACTAGCTTTACAATGAAGCTAGCTTTACATCCCGGCGGCCTCGTTGCTCTTCTTCATGTAACAATGAGGCACCTCTTCCAAGTTCGTGCTTAGGGATGGGGTTCTGCCTCCTTAAGCTTTTCTGCCTTATGTTCGTCCACCATTTCTAAGTGCGTTAACGTTTTCCTGACATTTCTCTTCGTATAGCCCCTTCTATTTTCCAGTTTCCCACTTTGCCCAGAAGCTGTGGAATCCAGTGTCTTGCTTTCAGTCTCTGATCATGTGAGGAAACGTTGCATTTTCTTCTCCAAGTGCTTTTCGAAAACTCAGGAGCAGAAAGCCTGTTCCTTTGCTAAGTCAATCAGTCCCCTATTTCTCTGTGTGCCCGTGAAAACTGCCAGTGGCTGTGACATGGCCTGTGCTGCCTCTGACCCACGATTTGTCCAATCTCTCCTTCTCAGCTTCCCAGCCCAAGTGGTGTGTCTAAATAAAAAGTATTTATCATGAAAGTAGCTGATGCTCTTAGGACTTTGCAAGGTGATCGACCTAGGCATTTCCACTAATTTTTATGAAGAGTTTTATTGAGCTCTGATCTGTATAACGTGAAATTTACTTAAAGTACAATTCAACAGTGTTTTGTGTATTCAGAGTTGTGCAGCCATCATTGCTGTCTTTTTTTTTTCCCTACGTGACATAAGCTAGAGTTACCTAAGAGGGAACCACAATTGAGAAAATCCCTCCATAACATTGGCCTGAAGGCAAACCTGTGGGAGCACCTTCTTAATTAATAGTTAATGTGGGGGGACTCAGCGCACTGTGGGTAGTAAGCCCTTAAACAGGTGACTGTGAGTTGCATAAGGAAGCAGGCGGAGCAAGCCATGGGGAGCAAGCCAGTGAGCAGCCCCCTCCATGGCTTCTGCTTCCTCTCTTGCCTTGGTGTCCCTCAGTGATGAGTGTGACCTGAGAGCCGTAAGCTGAGACCACCCCTTTCTCCCTCAAGTTCCTTTTGGTCATGCTCTTTTACCACAGCACTAGAAACCCTAATTAAGACAGCCTCAGTCCATTACCCAAAAGTTGTCATGTCCCATTCCCATCCATTGTCCCTGTCCCAGCCTAGACAGCTAATAGCTCGCTTTTCCTCTCTGCAGACTTATCTGACCTAGCACTTCAGAGAAGAGGGATTTTTTTTGCATAAGATGATAATTGCTTCATCAGTGTTATAACATTTATCATTATCAAATTCCTTTTTATTGCTGAATACTATTTCAGTGCTTGGATATGCCACGTTGTTTAACTTCTCTGAATTCCTTCTTTCTCTCTCTCTCTCTGTCTCTCTCTCTCTCTCTCTGTCTCTCTGTCTCTGTCTGTCTCTCTCTCTCTCTCTTTCAAGACAGGGTTTTTCTGTGTAGCCCTTGGCTGTCCTGGAACTCACTCTGTAGACCAGGCTGGCCTTAAACTCACAGAGATCCACCTGCCTTTGCCTCCCAAGTCCTGGGATTACAGGAGTGTGCAACCACCACCCAGCTGAGTTCTTATTTTCTTCTTGAAAATTTCCTTATACAATAAGCCTCTGATAGCCCTTGTCCAATAGATGGAAAACTTTCTGTTTGATTCCCATGTGACAGGCTTGAATGCCATCCAGACTACATACTCTTCAAATTCCCAGGTTGTGCCTTGTAAGGCTGTGCAGAGTAAAGAACACAAAATTCTCACTCACAAATACAAGGTGCTGGTTAGTGTGTTCTCTTGGATCGAGTCAACAAATGCAATGTCTTTGACACAATTTTTTTTTTTTTGGTTTTTCAAGGCAGGGTTTCTCTGTGCCTTTGGAGGCTGTCCTGGAACTCGCTTGGTAGTCCAGGCTGGTCTCGAACTCACAGAGATCCGCCTGCCTCTGCCTCCCGAGTGCTGGGATTAAAGGCGTGCGCCACCAACGCCCAGCGACAGATATTTTTTTTTGTGTTACCTAAGAACTCTGAAGTAGCCAGGTGGTGGTGGCTCATGCCTTTAATCCCAGTACTCAGGAGGCAGAGGCAGACAGATTTCAATGAGTTTGAGGTCAGCCTGGGATACAGAACTACTTCCAGGGCAGCTGGGGCTATTGTTACACAGAGAAACTCTGTCCAGAAACAACCCTCCCCCCCCACCAAAAAAAGGACTCTGAAGTAGTTGGGAGAATCAACTCACTTGGAAATTATAATTTCCTCTTGATTTTATTACAATGGTTTGACACATCATAGGGAAAATTGAGTTGGATTACTCAAGAAGTTATAGATATATGCAACCCACACTCCTGAAATTTGGTGGAAGCCACCAGTTGAAGGTGTATATTTTCCTGTAAAATATTTACTTTGTTAGTTCTTTTTTTTTTAAAGATTTATTTATTTATTTATTGCATATACAGTGTTCTGCCTACATGCCAGAAGAGGGTACCAGATTGAATTGTAGATGGTTGTGAGCCATCATGTGGTTGCTGGGAATTGAACTCAGGACCCCTGGAAGAACAGTCAGTGCTCTTAACCTCTGAGCCATCTCTCCAGCCCCACTTTGTTAGTTCTTAACTGATTACAAAGAGACTTAAATAAATTAATGTTTCATACATCATGTTCTTAAAATCTTTTGATCTTTCTTAGAGAATGGCAGAAAGCTAAGCTGATTTTTGAAGGAGTTGATACAGTTGCAGAAATCCTGTTCAATAATGTCATTATTGGGAAGACAGACAACATGTTCACTGGCTATGTAAGTACATGATGATTCCAGATTAAAGGGGATGAGTGTGACTTTGTGTCCCTGGTATGAATAGGGAAGGCTAGTTACATAGTTGACCATGACTCAAGTATAAGGCCAAATTACTGAGTTTCTTAGGTGCCCTGTTTTAGGATGATAAGGCAATGCAAATCCCATGGTGGTTCTGCCGGGCTCGAAGAAGTAAATTACAGCTTCACTTTACTATTCACTTTTCTGTGGCCTGGTGGTCCAGCGTTTCATGGAAAATGACCATTAAAAAGGAGGGTTTTTTTTTCTTTTCGGAAATTGTATCCTTATTTTCCTTCTGTTTCAAGGGTGTGCTTTGGAAAACAAAATAACTTATGAGTTAGAAACACACACTGTGCATTCCAGAGAGAGAGAGTCAGGTTGTCATACAGTGTCTAGGAATGGCAGCTCAAGGCCATGTGCAGACATTTCGGGGCTAAAGATACTCTCTGCTCTGCATATTTCTCTGGGACCATAATTCTGTCAGTAAAAATAGAAGCCTAGAAGCCTATGCTCGGACCTGAGAGTGGAGCTATAACTAAGGGTGGGCACTAAATTCTGTCTCAGAGGCATGCTTCCTGTGGATGAGGGAGTTCCAGACTGGCTTATCGTGTGCATCCTTCATGTAGTCTGCCTTTATCTAAGTTTTTATACTCAGGACTAGTTCTTCCACAGGGATCCGATTTGATTGTGCCTTGTCTTTACTTCAGAGTTTTGACATCACCAAAGTGGTCAGAGACAGGAACTCCTTACAGCTGCGGTTCCAGTCGGCCGTGCACTATGCTAAGCTTCAGAGCAAGGCTCACACTCGCTACCCGGTGCCCCCGGCCTGCCCCCCCAAGGAGCAGAAGGGTGAATGCCACGTCAACTTTATCCGAAAGGTAATAATGCTCTTTCAAATGCCTGGGCTCAGCTAGTTTGTGAGCACTTACTTAATTCCTTCCAGGGGCATCTCCAAAATTCTCACTCTCCTAATCACACAGCCACACTTGAAGATTTGAAAATAAAAAGATCTTCTGAATTTTTGGGGTTAATCTTCATCTTCTAGGTTTTCTTCCTGAAGCATGTTTCAGAATTTAAGTTCATACATACACACACACACACACACACACACACACACACACACACACACACAGTTTTCTGGAATGGTCTCTGTCTGTTGCAAAGAGAAGCTTCCTTGATGGAACTACACTTAGTTTTTTTTCTGTAGTAGAAACACCTTTCTCTTTCTCTGGCATAAACACAGAGTGAAGGAAATGAAACTAATGAGAGCCATTTGGCCAGACCCTCCGTGTACAGACACCTTGGTTCCCCAAGCTCAGGTTTTTAGGCCTTATTTTCCAAAGTTGAGCTCAAAGTGTCATAGATTTTATTATTGTGAGAATTTGTCTTCTCTTTAAAAAAAAAGAAAAATTTCTGCTTGTCAGGATTATATATTTTTTATTTATTTCCATTTTTAAGTTAAGTTTTTAGATTAGCACACAAAGTAATAGTTTTATCATGGCAATTCGTGCAGAAGTGGCTTTCCCTCCCCCTACTCTCCTGGGATGCCTGGCCTGTTCCTGGTAGGTTCCCCTCTGCCCCAGGTGGTCTTTTCCCTTCTGCTTTCTTATCGATAGGTTTCCATTATCCTCTCCTTCCCCCCCAACTCCCTTCAGAAGTTATCTTTCCAGAATCATCTCCTGCGATTTGAATCTGAACCTTTGTAATGTCATAATTGGAATTTTTTAGTGTCATGGCTCTCAGTCAGGTAGCCTGGCAGGCAGATAAGATTATATCTCTCTGACAGGTAGCCACCCAGGTCAGAGTCTGAAGTCTGAAGAGATTGTCTTTGTGCCTGGTATTCCCAAACAAGGACTGCTGAGTTTGTACTTAATGAGTTAGGGGCTAAGGCTAGTTTGTTTGTTTTTTCTTAAACCTGTTTATAATATCTTTATCTTTCAGTGAGGCTGTTCATTCTTCGAATTGTTTTATTGAATGCAGTGGTTAGTGTTGTGCCCAAGTTGCAAAGATCCCCAGAAACCACCAGGAAGACAGACCTACCAAACTGTAAAAGCAAGGTTTTAAGTGTATTGATTGTTCATCCAACCATGACAGGGACCCTGTCTAGCAAGCTGACCCAGCAGCCTCCAGAGGGGGTGAAGTTCCCTGTCTACTTCTAGGTTTTAAAGACAAAAGTTACAGGATTACATCAGTAGGTACGGGTTGCTTTCTGATTGGTTGACATTTGGGAACAATTAGGAGAATTTCTCAAAGTCATATTTTGGCACGAAATACCTGTGTACCAATTATTCTCACTGGTCAGTGCTGAGAGGGAACATTCTTTGGTTTCTGTGGCATTGTCTTGTTACTAGCAGGTGGCCTGTTGTTCATAGATACCAGTAGTTTTCAGATCCCCCCCTGGAGTTTCTTTTGTGGCCAAACAGTTCCCTGGAACCAAGCATCTAGGAGGCTGGGGGAAGGGGGAGTCTGTTCAGTTTTGGCCTGAGGCTCTGTGAGGCCAGAGGATCTGGAGTTTCCTTGTGTCAGAGGCCTATGTATCTTTCCTGTAGCCTGTCATGGCTGTTAAAGCAGGGGGCTGAGTGAGGGTCTGGTCCCTTTATAAGTCTTTGAGTTTAGTTTACCCATTTCAGTTAGGCTCAGCAGTATTTTGGAGTGTGACAGAGCCTGGGTGGATGGTCTTTTTATTGGGGGAAAGAAGTGAATGGGACAGAAGGGGGGAGAGGCAGAGAAGGGAAACAGTTTGCTGGGGGTGGTGGTCACTGCTTGTAGCCCAGGACTTTCAGGCCCATCCAGGAGGAGCACAGGATTAGCGAAAACCTGGTCTCCAAAGTGACACTTGCAAAGCAAAAAGCAAAATGAAAAACTGTTGCTCCGATTCAATAGGCTTTTGGAGGATGAACGCAAAATAATATATAATTAGATTTTATATTCTTCTTGATAAATTTACTGTGGCACTTAGGTTGATAGTTTGGTTATTATAGTAATAATCAGTATAGCAAATAATAATAATCTGTTGAAAACTAACCCAGCATTTCTCAGCCTAAACTTCTCTTGTGCTGTCAGCTGGGAACCTAAGTACAGCTTGGCTGGGCACCTAAGCGCAGAGGCTTTTAATCAAGCCATCACCTTGTGCCTGTCTGCAGCTGACAAGAGTTCTGAGCTCTCCATGGCCGCCAGGAGGTTTCAGATCTTGTTCCCAGATCTCTTGTGCAGCCTCCCACCGTGCTGCTCCCGGACACAGCAGCTGGCTTCCCTCTTGGCCCCAAGAGAGTATGGGACCAGGTCCAAAACAGAAGGGCCGGCCTATAATCTAATTTTGGAGATGACATCACCTCTGCTATATTCTATTCACAAGAAAGTGGTTCTCTATATCTAGCACATGCGCAAGGGAGGTGCTCACAGCTCACAGGAGGGCACCAGCACCAGAAGGGAGTCTCTCTGTCTCTCTGTCTCTGTCTCTGTCTCTCTCTCTCTTTCTCTCTCTCTCTCACACACACACACAGTTAGTTAGTGGATGAACTGTATGCTCCACACTTACTAAATGTTGCAGTTGGAACACCCCCTCTACTTAAGTATTTCAGGATGTAACTGTAACTGTGTTTGGAGTCATCCTTGTCAAGATAATTAAGTTAAGTGGGTGTCTAGAGTAAGGAGATTGGGACTGCAGAAGGAGTTGGGAGGGATGGAAGGAGAGGATAGAAGGGGAGGATGGAAGGAGAGGATGGAAGGGGAGGCGCCCTCCCCACCCAGCCTGTGTGTGTTTGCTGTGGCATCACTAGTAAACTGACCCATGAATGTGTGTCTAACGTTTTAAAGACAGACCTTTCCTTTTATTCTAATTTCTTCATTTAGGATATGTCATGACATTTTCATAACCAGAAAGTACCTCTCTTGAAATTACAGGAGCAGTGCTCCTTCAGCTGGGACTGGGGCCCTTCCTTTCCCTCTCAAGGAATCTGGAAAGACGTTAGAATCGAAGCCTACAACATCAGTCATCTGGATTACCTCACATTTTTGCCAATATATGGTAAGCCAAGAACTGTGATTTCTTCATCTTTTTTAGTCTTCTCCTCGTTACGAAAATTGTGTTCCTAATTTGGAATATCGGTATATTTTTTCAGGGACTTCTTAAAATAATACAGCATATCCAATTTATAAATAGATACAGTAGTACCTAGTGTGAAATAGATACAAATGGTTTGTCATGACATTTACAGTGTCAACCAGGTCTGTGGGTACATACCTGTTAGAATACTTTTTGGGGGTGGGGAAAAGACAGGAAAGGAAGGGAGGGAGGGAGGGAAGGAAGATGGGTTGGTTTGCTTGAGCTCGCTCTGTAGCCCAGGCTGCCTCAGACTTGATCTCTCCTCCTGCCCTAGACACCCTTCCCCACCAGGACTCCAACCCCATGCTAGGATCGAAGCACTAGCTCGCTCGCTCGCTCGCTAGCTCGCAGTTAGAGCTGCTTTTCGCTGCCAGCTTCCTTGCCTTCACACTTTATTTGTCCTCGATTTTCTATTCATGGTGTGCGCCTATGTGTTTCTAAACGTCTTTTGTGTGAGTGTGTATATGGGACGTGGATGTGTGTGTGTGCCTGCAGAGGCCAGAGGTCTATCAGTCTCTACTAATTCCCTTGAGGTATGGTCTGTCCTCGAAACTGGAGCTGTTCCGTAGCCAGCAAGCCCCAGCCATCCTCCTGTCTCTACCTTGCCCCCAGCAACGGGGTTACAGGTGTGTGCATGGTCACACTCGGCTTTTTGTGTCGGTCCTCGTGTTTACACAGCCGGTGCGCTTACCCACCAGGCCGTCTCTGCAGCCTGCTTTTGGACTTACTGAGCTGAGCAGGGCTGCTGGTCTCTGTCTTGTGCTGAAGACACGCCCACCACCTCACAGGCTCTCTGCTCTTGTCCTGCACATGTGTAGATGCTGCCTCGCTTCCCCTCCCCCTTCATTCTAGATGACCTATGAGGTGGAGGAATGCGTTGTCCTCTGAGCTAGACCAGCGAGCCTGTGATGGCCCCTATGAAGTGCTCTTTACTACAGCTTCATTTGGGAAATATAATATAAAAACATGGCAAAAAAAAAAAAAAAAAAACCGTGCCAGTCCTGCGGAGTGTCTGAGTGGCAGGCTTTATCTCTTCCTTTGGATTGTCTTTCTTGTTCATTTCTGAATTACTTCCCCCCTAAAATGCCATTGTCCTCCTTTAAAATAGCTCCATTCATAGTAGGCAGCACAAGCCGTCTGCTGTATAGTGAGTCTCTCTTCTTGATAGCTTCCTGGTCACCAGGTGCATCATATTCTCACTGGCTTGTCCTTATTTTGGGTGGATTTTGCCTTTGGGGTTTTGCTTTCAGTTCAGTTCAGTTTCAGTTCAAGGTTTCCTCTAAATGGGCAAGGAGCTCTGCCGATTGGTGAAGCAGGGGGCAGGGCTGGGTTAATCAGCCACGAGCCCGCCTTTCTGGCCAGTTGAGTGGGCAGCTTCCTGAAAAACAGCTGCTCGAATCTGTCCGGTAATTCTCATGCACGTCTGGGGAAACGTGCTGTGCTTAAATTCCCACATTCCTCGATGTGGTGCCTGTGCTGCGGGGTGGTGTCGGCAGGGGGGCGTTTACACATTCCGTGATCGAGAGTCTGTAGAGTGGCGTCACCCTGCCCCTCCAGCCTCTCATTTTCTAATAAAGGCTCAGGAGGGCAGAACGTGGGAGGGTGACAGCGAGGGACTCGGCAGGAGAAAGTCAATCAAGGCAGCAGCTGCCTTTGAACAGCTTTTTCTACCAATGAGATAGGACCGTCCTCCTAACCCTAGCAGTGATCCCTGGCTGCAGACCAGCCCAGGTCTCTCAGCTTCTGTTTCCTTGTTCGTCCTTAAGCCCTGGACACTGCCTGGTCTTCCTCCTCTCTCCCCGGAGCACAGACTTGGAAGTCAGAAGATAGCCCTGGGTGTCCCTCACTGCCTCCCATTCTGTTTCAAACGCTCTCTTGTCTGTCACGTGTGCCAGGATACCTAGCCACGAGCTTCGGAGGAGGGAGGAGTCCCCCATCTCCAGTCTTACCGGAGGTTACAGATGTGTGCTAAAACACCCAGCTTTCCCAGAATTCAGGGCGTTCAAACTCAGGTCCTGGGTGGCAAGCACTTTGCCTGCTGAGTCATCACCACAGCTCCATCTGAGTGAGTCATCACTCACCAGGTGGACCAGGCTGGAGTTTCAGGCAGTACTTATTCAGGAAAAGTCTTTCAATTGTTTCCCCAAGATGCTCACATGACTGTTGACCCGCCCTTCTCAAGGAGCTTGGGTACAAAGCTTGCATATTGAGGAGTGGAGGGACCATGCACAGCACCGTGACATCACAGTGTTGGATCAAACTTATTCTCCATGGGTTTCAGTGGTCTTCCTTCCAAGACCGTCTTTTATTCAGGGTAACATTTTTTGTTTTTATTTTTGTTTTTTGTTTTTCAAGACAGGGTTTCTCTGTATTGTTTTGGAGGCTGTCCTGGAACTCGCTCTGTAGACCAGGCTGGCCTTGAACTCACAGAGATTCGCCTGCCTCTGCCTCCCGAGTGCTGGGATTAAAGGCGTGCACCACCACCGCTCGGCTCAGGGTAACATTTTTAAAACCAATTTATTTAGTTTTTATTTTACCTGTGTGGGTGTTAAGCTTGCATATATGTATGTGAACTGTATTGCGTGCCAGGTGTCTGAGGACTTCAGGGTGCTGGATGCCCTGGAACTGGAGTTAGGGCTGGTTGTTTGTTAGTTACTAAGTGGATGCTAGGGAACAAATCCGGGTCCTCTGGAAGCGCAGCCAGGCTCTAACTGCCAAGTCATCTCTCCAGCCCTCAGGAGATGTTACATACTCATTGTCCTACTTTGTCCCAAATGCTCTGTTTTTTAACAGCCCCCCTGACCTTAGCACAGCTGACACCATGTTAGAGGCAGAATTCTGACCTTAAAGCCCAGCATATAGGTCCCAGTTCTGCCAACATGGGAACAAAGACCTGACCACCAAAGACTGAGTCCATGTCTCCATGGACTGACCTGGTTTTTTGGCTTCTCTAGTTTTGCTTCTTGCTAACTGAAGTGTGACAAAGGCCTGTAAGGCTCAGGGCTGCATGGTTTGGGCAAGGTCTCTGTGCAGACACCGACTGGCAATAAAGACTTAACTTGCATCTTTAAGAGAGTGCGTGGGGTGGTTTCTGGTGGGCTTACCTGTCTACAGTTTCACATTGAATGCATCTGATATTTGGACTTGCACTCTGAAAGACGGGAAGTTCTTCTGCTGTCTCTCACCGTTATATACAAATTCATGTGCTTAGTGTTTGCTAGGCACTGCCCCGACAGGGCTGGGGGGGGGGAGCCGTGAGAGCCTCGAGTCAGGAAGCCCAGGTCCTCTCCCTGTCTGCTGACTTTGGCCACTATGAGGGAAGATCACAGATAGGGAGGGTCTCCAAAGCCTGTCAGAGTGGCTAGGAGACCTCCAACGTCCCATGGTTCTTTCCTTTTGTTCTCCAACCAGACATCTCATTCCACCTTTGTGAGAGTTCTGGAAAAGTCAGCTTCTCTTGACTCTTCTCTTATTGCGGATGAAGAGATTGATGCCTGAGACTTTATTAGAGTGGGCACAAACTAAAACAAGGCCTAGGATATTGTTTTAAAGTAGTGTGTGTGTGTGTGTGTGTGTGTGTGTGTGTGTGTGTGTGTGTGTGTGCATGTGAATGCAGGTGCCCCCAGGAGGCCAGGAGAGGGCGTAGAATCTCCTGGAGCCTGAGTTACAGTTAGTTACAATTTGACATGGGTGCTGGGAATATAACTCTGGTCCTCCAGAAGAGCAGCAATCACTCTTAACTACTGAGCCATCTCTTCAGCCCCACGGGATATGATTTGAAAGCACATCCTCCAGGAACGTAGTGGCAGGCTTAATGACCTCAACCACCAACTTCTCTCTCAGTCTCTCTCTCTCTCTCTCACTCTCTCTCTCTCTCTCTCTCTCTCTCTCTCTCTGCATGTCTGTGTGTGTGTGTGTGTGTGTGTGTGTGTGTGTGTCCTTTTCCTTTATGGTCTATATGTTTTTTGACACAGGGGTCATGTAGCTCAGAAGGCTCCTTTAGTCACTATGTTGCAGATGACCTTGAACTCCAGGAATCCTGCCTCTACTGCCCAAGTGCTGGGATTACACATGTGCACACCCACACTTCCCTCTCCATCTCTCTTTCTCTCTTTCCAGACAGGGTTTCTCTGTGTAACAGTCCTGACTGTCCTGGAACTCACTCTGTAGACCAGGCTGGCCTCAAACTCACTTGAGATCCACCTGCCTCTGCCTCCCGAGTGCTGGGATTAAAGGTGTGCACCTCCACTGCCCAGCTCTTCATCTCTTTTTAACACTGTTTTCTTCTAAGCAGTTGAATAAAGCCTTTTCTTTCTTTTAAAAAAATACATTTTATTGTGTGCATGTGTGGGTCAGAGGAACCAGCTATGGGATCAGTTCTCTCCTACCTTGTATGGGACCTGGGGCTAGAACTTAGATCATCAGACTGTGTGAGTTCTCTCCTTCTACCTTGTATGGGACCTGGGGCTAGAACTTAGATCATCAGACTGTGTGAGTTCTCTCCTTCTACCTTGTATGGAACCTGGGGCTAGAACTTAGATCATCAGACTGTGTGAGTTGCCTTTACCTGCTGAGCCAGCTATCCTATCCCTCTTTTTTATTTTTTGTTAGCCACATCCAGATAAAGAAGTGGACTTTATTATAATATAAAAGCTGGAATTCTTTGGGGAATATCTCTCTTGTTGTTATTGTGGGTTTTGTTTTGTTTTGTTTTTGAGGCAGCGTTTCTCTGTGTAGCCCTGGCTGTCTTAGAAGTTGATCTGTAGACCATCCTAGCCTCAAACTTACAGATATCCAACAGCCTCTGCCTCCTAAATGTTGGGATTAAAGTCATGGGCTACTACTGCCTTTAATCCCAGCACTCAGGAAGCAAATCCCCGAGGGTGAAGAAATTCACCAGTGGAGATGAAATCCAGGATTTCACATGTACCAGGCAAGCACTTAGTCATACCCTCAGTTTTCTTTAGAGAGTTTCAGTCAAATATGTTCCACATGTTTTAGAGAAGTCTTAATGACTTTTTGACCCTTTGAATCGGGGTATGTCTGAAAATGGACATTTCCTATCCTGACTGCCCTGTCCCAAATAACCACACTGAGGCTTATATTAAATGTAAAGGCTCAGCCAACAGCTCAGGCTTATTACTAACTAGCTCTTACAGTATGCCTGTTTGGTATTATTATGGATTCCTATCCAGGCCAGACACAAGGTCAGTCCTCCCTCCCTCCCTCCCTCTTTCCTTCCTTCCTTCCTTCCTTCCTTCCTTCCTTCCTTCCTTCCTTCCTTCCTTCCTTCCTTTCTGTCCCTTCTTTTTTCTTTGCTCTTTCCTTTTAAGAATCTATATGAGTGCATGAGCTGACCCTGGGAAAACCCTGAGTCATTGTTTAGAACCACAATCTTTGCTGTCCTCTGGATTGCCTTCCTGGTTGAGGTCACAGAACCAAAAGCAACTACAATTCCTTCTGCAGGGACACAATGAGGATGGAGGTTATCGGCCAAGGAGAACCTAGTAGATACTGTAGGACAGCCTTGCCTACCCACCTGTTGCCTTTAGAGTTCATTTCTTGTCTATGGTGTGAGAATGAGGAGAGGACACCAGACTTAGTAGGGCTGGGACGGACGGTGCTGTACAGGATTCTGGGATCATACGCTATCCTGCTAGCATCCTAACAATTATATGATGACTAGACAGGATCATACACTATCCTGTTTACATCCCAACAATTACTGTTTATTTACGATTTTGTGAACTCCAGTTGCTTGATTTTCCCCTGAGCTGCCACAAGTCTGTAAATGCATGGCTCTGGTTGTTTAGAACAAAGGACTCCATTCTGCATATTGAAAGAGCGGTTCCTCTTGGCTTCCTCTGTGGGAGGACTCACTGCACAGCAACTGCTCCTGTCTTATTTTCATCAAGTCCTGCGGTGTGCTGAGATGATGCTTAGTGCCTGGTCTTTTCTTCTTTTGCTGTAGATAACACTTCTCAGGAGTGGACTGTTGAAATCGAGGCTTCTTTTGACGTGGTCAGCTCAAAGCCGGTTGGTGGTCAGGTGACCGTAGCCATCCCCCAACTGCAAACATGGCAAACATACAACATTGAACTTCGACAGAGGCAAAGGACTGTTAAACTCCTTGTGAAAATTAACAAGGTGAGTGATGTCACTTCCGGGGAAATGATGGATGAATGTACTTGCTGTTCAGGGGAAGAAATGGCAGAGTGGGAGAGGGCATCTAGTTTCTCCTTATGCTTTTTAATCATTTTCTTACCACTCTTCCATTTTTAGGGGTTCCATTTATTTAGAATTTTCATTTTGTTTTGTTTTTCAAGACAGGGCAAGACAGCCTTGGCTGTCCTAGAACTCGCTCTGTAGACCAGGCTGGCCTTGAACTCACAGAGATCTGCCTGCCTCTGCCTCCACAGTGCTGGGATTAAAGGTGTGTGCCACCACGGCCCAGCTCTAGAATTGTATTTTGTTTTGTTTTTTGAGACAAGATTACACACTGTGACACAAACTGGAACTCACTAAGCATCCCAGGCTGGCTTCTCTTCTTGTTGGTTTGCTTGGCATACGGTCTTGCATGGTAGCTTAGGCTAAAACCCTGTATGTAGCTTAGGCTTCTCACCAACTTGCAGTGATCCTCTGGCCTCTGGTTCTCTTGAGTGATGAGAGTCCAGGGGGGCAGGTATATATCACCACACATGGCATTTTTGCCTTTATTTTTAACTTCTCCATATTCTGTATGTTAACTGAGTGATTTCTCACATGTAAAATTAATATAGTGGAAAATAATATGTGATTAGTTTGCCAATTTTTCTTCTAAGAAGTCAGTTACATCTTTAATATTTTTCCATATCATTTGCAATATCCTAGCCCATATTAGATTCTACATTTCCAGTTTCAGTGTGGTGGCTCTTTTCCATTCATTTTCATTTGCTTTGAACAACTCTAAACCTGGACTCAAGGTTTGTTTATGGTTAGATGAGGTAGGTTTTAGCTTTCATTTTTTTCTATTAATCTGGCTTATGATTGTGAACAGGCAAAAACATAGCAGAGTAACAACTTAGAAGAAAGCAAGACTCCATAAGAGGTCCGGTTCTGGGTGTAGAAGAGTCAACTTCCTTGTCTAATTCTAAGTGTTGAGACTATAGAATAAACACACTTTGGAGCGGTAGAGCAGGGAACAGCACTTTCTTGAACACCATGGTACTCTGGTATGGATTCTGTATTATGTTCCCAGCATGCTGGTTTTTCTGGAAGTGGAGGGACTGGGAACATAGCTCAGTCAGTGGAGTCCTTCCCGAGTATGCTTGAAGTCCTGAGTTCGATCCACAGCACCACATAAACTATAATACTAGGATTCTGGAGGTGGAGCCAGGCGGATCAGAAGTTCATGGCCAAGTTCTGCTACACAGAATTTGAAGCCAACTTTGGGCTACAGGAGACCCAAGAAAAGCAAACAAATAAATATATAAAATTTTAAGATAGCTATTCTGTGACTGGGCTTTGGCAGAAGGTAAGCATGGACATTTATGCTGGTTTAGGACAGTTTGCATTTCATATAACCTATTGAGTTGTAATGTTTTTGTAAAACTATGCCACATTACTTAGAATGACTTATTTCTTAAAAGGAGATTGCTGTGGAGCCCTGGTGGCCTCATGGGCATGGAAACCAGACTGGATACAACATGACAATTCTCTTTGTGCTGGATGGAGACTTAAATATTGAGAAATCAGCCAAGGTAAGTACATACACTATTTTGTGAAACAGAGGCTATTTCTTGATTAATAACAATACCAAGATTTGAAAGAAAAGAAGCATTTAGCAAAATTTACAATTCTACCACCCAAACTAATAGCATTCAGAGTTTCTGGGTGTGTCATTGTGGGTTTATATTCCTAAATGGATCAGAATTCTATTTTGGCTGTAGCCTCCTGTTTCACACTCTTTCAATGTTTGCTTTCCTCCATGGTGCTGAGGTTTGAGCCAGGAACTCAGGCAAACTCTCTCCCAGTATGTCACATCCTTGGTCTTCTCCAGTGTGTTCTTGCATCATTTCTAAGTAGCATATATATGTAATTTTAAAGTGTAAATACTGTTAGAAGGTTCCCATGACAAGAGGCACCTGGCCTAACCTGTTCTCTTCTTACTTCTAGTCTGCAGAGCAGCAACAAAACTAACCTATACTTACTTCTTTGCCATCTGTCTTCATTTTCTAACGTCTCATGCTTCTACTGATGCTTTCTAACTTTTTCCTCCTTCCACTGTGAGATATAGCACTCAGGAATGCAAAGAACTACACTTTTCTTACTTATTAGCTGTATGGGTTTACTCACCTCTAAAAGTGCTGTTTCCTTATGTTAAAATGGTTGGATCAGAATGATGTAACTTGGATCTAGCCTATCACAGCCACAGTATATAAATAATCCTTTCTAGAGTTTCCTTCCCCTGGCATTGGTCTTTGTGTTCACAGATGATGGAGGCTGCCTAGTGGTGTCATCTCTCACAATGGGCATCATCTCTCCCTGGGCCCAGATGGCATCCTGAGTGTAGGATTATACCATTATGTAGTCCATTGGAATTTTTCTTTTGTTTAAGTGTACTACATATTTCTGAAATAACATGAATATGAGTGTGTGTACACATGTATAGCATGTTTGAGGATGATTCTTGGATTTCTTTTCTCATTCTCTTGGCTGGGGATGTGTGTTCTCCCACATACTGATTTACTGTGTGTCGTCTTCATAAAATGTGAAAAATAATGAGTCGTTCAAGCTTACTACAGAGAAAAGAAGTTGAACCCCTATTGTGGTACATCAGTTCTTTTCATGTGGACTCATTGGTTGTATTATTGTTCGCTATGCATGAAGATGTCAACCTTTGGGCATGGAAGGGAATGAAGATGTGTTGCCCCTTTCCTGCATTCCTGCATGGCTGTAGAGTGTACTGTGTCTTTCTGTGACTTCTGTGGAGATCATGATTGTCAGTACTTATTCATTCAGTTACTCCTTGGATCCCCTTGTGCTTTGGGTACTATGCTTCTGATAAAACTGGGATAATGCATTGCGTTCATTTCTTTCTGAGACCTTAATAAGGCTAATAATTTGGTTGGGAGGTGACTTCATTAAATAAGCACTAGTAATAGCGATTGATGAGTACGCTAGAGAATCAGAGAACTTTGGCGGCAAGCCAGGCATGGTGGTACATGCCTTTAATCCTAGCACTTGGGAGAGTGAGGTAAGGGGTCAGAGTTTGGGGCCAGCCTGGACTATCTGGTGAGATCCCATCTCTAAAGAAAACACAGAAACAAAACAAATCAAAAATTAAGGATTTGAACTGGCTTAGGGATATGGGCGTGTAAATCGGCAGAGAATAGGTAATAGTAGCCGTGGTAGGGGATGACACCTCAGGGAAGACCCAAGGAGGGCCAAACCCCGAGGATAATAAGGATGCGGCAAGAGAACAGTGTGTAGAGAAATCTAAGAAGGAATAGTCAGAGGTAGAGAGTCACCCGGTTTGAGTACAGGGGGCTGTGGAGCCAGAGAGAATATTCTAGGAGCACACAGCGCTCCAAGCATCAACCATTGCAAAGGTGCTCATGATAGAGAGATGCTTGGCCTGAATGGAAGCCATACTGCAGGGGTTCTAGCAATGACTGCAGTCAGGACAGTGGCTATGGTGACTGCTAAGCCGATTGTGATGGTGGCCAGCTGTGGAGCAGGGGATTGCCCACAGCAGGCATCTGAGTAAAGCAGTGGATGTGTTAATATGCTGGGAACCAGAGTTTTCATGACGGTAGGTTGGTGCACGTGGTGTGCTAGTTACTTCTGCGTGGCTGTGACCAACACGCCCGAGAGAAGGACTGAGAAGAAGGAGCTGGTTACCTCAGCTCATACCTGCTGGTCAGAGGTCAGGGTTGGCTCTCTCCGCCCACCACGTGGGTCCTGGGAACGCAAACTTGGCCATCAGGTGTGTGCAGTAGGAGCCTTTATCTGCTAAACCACCTCACGGTCCCCACAGATATTTTCGGGTGATAATCGTAGTTTGCTGTTTTAGATAGAGCCACTCAGCTGCCATTTCCCCTCTGCATGGCTTGTCTCCCAGCTCTCTCTCTGGAAGGGAGCTCATTGTGCTGGAAGCAGCACAAGGCTATTTATATCGTCTCTGGTGTCAAGTTTATTCACTTAAATTATTGTCAGAGGGTGATAAGACAATGTCAGCAGTCAATCAGAGCTTGTATCTCAGAACCCCCAAGCCAGATGGAGAAGACTGCCAATAGCTGTTCTAATTAGAAAAGCGATGGGGATTTCCTCAGTGTTTAAATTTAAAACACTCTTCACTCCTTTCTTTGATTTTTAAATCCCCATTTCCATCTTTGTAGTTTCCTAGCGCACAAAGAGAACATGACACCCATGGAATTCTTGCTTTTTCTTTCTAAGTGTTACCCAGAACTCTCTGAAGACCTCACTAGCACCAAGCCAGACAGTGTGAAATTCAGAATAACCAAGGTGTGTTTCCATCCAGAGAGTTCCCTGAGGCTGTGCAGTGTTTTTCCATCTGTGTTAATTTCCCCAGCGTTGTCAGAGCAAATCCAAACAAAGTGGGTTGCTCGAAACAGTGGAGAGAATGCGTTCTCTCAGAGCAGCAGATGCAGGAGTCCAAACCAAGTCCATCCAGAGCCAGGCTCCCCTGCAGACTTGTGGAAGGTCCTTCTGGCATCTTCGCCCTGGCGGCCAGCGGTCCTCCCCGTGCCTTGTTTTGCAGTTTCTGTCTCCTTTTCACCTCCCTTCCCCATCCCCCACTCTCTTTCTGTGTTTTTAAGACCAAGTCTCACTATGTGGTCCAGGCTGGTTTGAAACTTACATCATTTCTCCCGGTCTCTGCCTCCCAAATGCTGGGGTCTCAGGCATGAGTCACCATGCCTAACTTCTTAAACAAATACGATCCACTGGGCTGGAGCTTGCTGTGACGTCTTTCGTGCTCAATGATGGATATTTCCAAAGCATTATTTCCAAATAAGGTCACATTTTCTGGTTTGGGGTAGACCTGAATTTTTGGGGGACATAATGTTTACCTCCCTTCATCCCTCTGTCAAAAACTTAAAGATTTACAAAATGGCCACTGTCAGTGGCTTCCTTGGGGGAGCCATGAGAGCTGTCCACCCAAGTACATGCCGTAAGTGGGTGCAGATTGTCCTGTTCTGCTTAACTGTCAAATTTTAATTGTTACTATATTTCTATTATCAGCATAGACTTGGGAGTCAGATATTGGGGTGAAAACCTGATAGATCAAAGAAGCATCAGAGGAGTGGCCAGCTGACCTTCTCTCTACACTTCTCAGGTGGAAGACAGCATGCAATCTCCCTCCCTACTCTTTCCTGTGTTTCTTCTCTATCCATATTCCAGGCTTCTCTATGGCTAATTTAGGTCAGCTAGTCCCTGGTTCCACCCGTTATTCAAGGTTAACTTTATTAACACTCCCGGAGTCACAGGGCAATCCATCATCCCACATCAGGGCTCATGTTTTAAACACTCTTTTGCGAGGCTGTGGACTCCGGGAGGTGGGCCTGTCTGGTGGAAGGAGGTGTGTAGGAGCAGGCCTTTGAAGGTTAGACCAGCCCTGGTTCCCGCCACTCACCCAGTGAGCAGTCCCTGCCTCAGCTCCTGCCACCAGAGACTGAGCTTTCCTGACAGGCCTCTCCCATCACGGTGGACTGAAAACTCCTGAAAACACGAGCCCACATTAAAGCCCCCTCCAGTGCTGGTCTGAATGATGAAAGTCCCCCATAGTCACAGGCATGTGGACCCTTGGGGTGGTTTTACTTGAGAGGCTTAGGTGTGGCCTTGTTGAAGGAGGTGTGTCACTGGAGTCAGGTTTTGAGCATTTGTAGGGCCATTTCCGATTCTGTCTCTGCTTTGTGCTTGCAGTGAAAGATATGAACTCCGAGCTTCCTGCTTCAGCCACCGCGCATCTGCTCCGCCTCCATGCTCTGCCCCCTTTCCTCCCCTCCCCTTCCCCCTCCTCCGTCTCTGCTCCACCATCATGGATGCTCCTCTCTAGGTCTGTGAGCACAAAGAGACTCCTGTAAGTTGTAAGTTGCCTTGGCATAGTGCTTGACCACAGCAGCAGAAAAGGAATTACTACATCCTCTCTCAGTCAGTGGTTCTCAACCTTCCCAACACTTCAGCTGAGACGTTTCTGCCTCTCCACCCGCACAGCAATCCAAATCAAACTGAGTTAGAAAAAAGCCTACGTTTAATGGGTAAAACACTCCCAGATGGTCCCCCCCCCCCCCCCCCCGCCCCGAGGACACAGGGAAGAGAGACGGAAAAACCATGTGTTTGTTCTCTAGGGGGCAGTTTAAATACCCTGTGTGAATGGTCTTGAGCAGCCCTGAGCAAGAAGCCCAGTTTGAGAGAGAGAGAGAGAGAGAGAGAGGAGAGAAGGGGGGAGAGGAGAGAGGAGAGAGAGGTGGGGGAGAGGTATTGAGGTGGAACTTCTAGAACATTCCAGATTCTTTGGGTATATGGATGTCAGGGACTGGGGTAGACCTTCCACCAGAAAAGTGACCCTTTAATACAGTTGGTGCTTCATGCTATGGTGACCCCCAAACATAAAATTGTTTTCGTTGCTATTTCATAACTAATTTTGCTACTGTGATAATCATATAAACATCTGATATGCAGGATATCTGATATGCTCCCCTGTGAAAGGGCCATTCAATCCCCCAAGGGGTGGCCACTCACAGGTTGAGAATCACTGCCTTCTAGTTTCTTTCAGTTATTTTGATCACAGGAACAAAAAAATAATCAATATTCCCAGGACTCAGGAGGCAGAGGCAGGTGGGCCTCTGTGAATTCAAGGCCAACCTGGTCTATAGAGCTAGTTCTAGGACACCCAAGGCTATACAGAGAAATGTCTTAAAAATCTAATAATAATAATAATAATAAGTAATGCAATCAATTTGCAGACAGTTGTCAATAGAGGTTTAGAAATTAAATGTCAATATTTCCAATATTATTCACTACTGCAACAAACTAATGTGTTTTATGAAAACAATAACATGATTCTAATATGAGCCTAATACTTCTTTATTCAAACTCTAATTTTTATCTCCCTTAAATAACACTAGCTGGGGAGGAGGGTTCACAAAGCCTCACTCTTCCCAGAGAACCTGTGGGAGATGATTTTGGAGGCAGGGAGACATTTTCTTTGGTGGTGTATCCACTGGCAAGTTGTCCATGCTCCTGGAGATAGCCGTCACTTATGCCCTGTAAGTAAACCTAATTAGGCATCTTGGTTCACCCTAAACAAATCAAAATGGTACAATTATTCAAACAAAGGCCAGTGAGAAAATATTGTTAGTATCTGCATTTCATTTTGGCCGTGATTTATGCCATTTTAGTATTACAATCAAACCCAGCTTTATCACACAGAAAAGACAGGTGTTCAAAATGGTTGCTTGGTGTCTGATACACAGGGTACACATCCGGCAAGAAAGTGATCAGGTAACTCTGAGCTGTGCAGTTGCCAGCCTGGCCACTTCTGTTTGTGCTGATAGAGAGGGTGCAGTGAAGAGAGGCCACCTGTCATTTCTACAGGCCGGAGCCGTTTGTGTTTTTTCTCACTTTTGTATGAGTGATCGTTTTTAGTGCAAATAGCATGGTCTTTACTTCTAACGTGCATAGCAGTTAATCTGAAATGAGTTTAGACAGCACAAGGCTTGCCAAAGTTTAGAAACAGTGTTGTTGTCAAGAAGAAAATTATGGACAGCTTCGTATGTATCTGATTACACACAGCCAAGACGTGGCTCTGAGCCTGTGAATCACCGTTGTCTGATCACCAAGAGAGAGGAATTGAGGAGTGTGGTATTTATTTACTTATCGCCGCAACCTCATGTGGCCTTTGGTTACAGTATCCAGAGCTCCATCTGGAAGAATGCATTGAGCTCTTCTGCACTCTGGAAGGTAGCTCTGCTATCTTAAAAATAAAACCATGCCTGGCATGATGGGACATACCTGTAATCCCAGCACGTTGAAAGCTGAGGCAGGAGGATCAAGAAGAAACCAAGCCCGGCCTTGACTACATAGTGAGGTCAAGGCTGCCTTGGGGTTTTATGAGCCCTCACCTGTAAAGACAAAACAGTAAGTTAAAAACAATTTTTATGAAGAAGCCAAAAAACTGATCAAGAGACGAGTGCATAGAACCATCAAGAGCAGACAGAAAAATCTGAATGCTAAGTATTTTTAAATCGCTGCTTGGAGAGATGCTGATTGGTTGAGTGCCTGCTGCTTTTCCGGAGGACCTGGATTTAGTTCCCAGTTGCCACACAGCTCTCAAGCCCCTGCAATTCCAGTTCAGGGTGATGAGACGCCCTCTTCTGGCCTTTGCTGGAACTCACACAATGCCCTCACCCCTAGAAATACAAATGAAATAGATCTTTAAAAAGCATTTTAAAATTCAAACTGCTTGACTTTTGGTGTCTTCAAGATAATTTAATATTTAGCTAGCACTTTACTTTGTCGGGCTATTTAAAATTTTTTTTTTGTCTCATCAGCAGACAACTCTGGATGCAAGTGTTTATTGCTCAGGGATATTTTTCAATAGCCATTTTCCAAGGCCATTGTGTTCTGGGAAGTAAAACACCTATTGTAGAAGGCTTTTATGCTACCTGTTGAGGTAGAGAAGGGCACAGAGGACACTCACCCTAGGTGCTCTGGCCTCTAAGAAGTCAGAGTGCAGGAAGAAAGGTGACTCTTGGCTACTTTGAAGCTGCCTTCCATTCTTACTGCACAGTTGGGATGCAGGGGTTGGGGGATGGGGAGCGATGCTTTCTCCCAGGAAAACATCAAAAGGATTTGTGTTTTATAGTTAATCCTATTTGTAACATTCATAGACAGTAAGAAGTAACTTCTTTCTCCCATATTTAGTGATTCTCAAATTTATTTTCTACACAGAACTACTTTATACTTAAAAAATAAACATTATGCTACACTTATCTTTCTGTGGGCCATAGGTACTCATACTTAGCATGGTACATATTGAAATTGAGAATGAAATATTGGCTTATTCCCTTGAAGTCACCATCAGAAGTCCATGATATGGTAGTACATTGACTCCTTTTGAGAAAAAATATAGTTAGGAAATAAAAAAATTGAGGGTGATAATAACATTGTTTTTCATGCTTGCAAATCTCTTTAATATTTTAATGAGGAGAATGAGGTTCTTACTGCATCTGCAGACAAGACAATCAGTTTGCAGTGACCTCACAAAGATACTATGCATCGTTATTCATATTCATCTGGAAAGAGAGAGGATTTAATAGTGTTTTCAGGTGCTCGTAGGTAGTCTTCACATTACACTAAGGTTTCATGAGTTCTGGTTTCTGAGGATGGGAGATGGGACCCACCCTGGTTTGGTTTCCAGCACCCTACAAATGGCTCCAGGGGATCTGATGATCTCATCTGCCCTCTTTGAGCACTTGTACTCACTTCCAGATACCTCTCTGCCCATAGACACATACCATACACATAATTAAAAATTTAGAAGACAGGTATTTGAAAAGGAAAACCAACAAGAGTTCATTTCTTAGTTAGTTGGCCTGCGAATTCAGGCCATTTCAATGCATTCTTTAGAAGCCTGGAGTCACCCTCATGCGATACTGTAATACACGGCATGGGCTGTCTGAAAACTTCTGCTTTCCTGAGGGTTATGAATCTCCCCAGTGTTGGCACATTTCAAGCTGTGGTACCACATTCACATCCCTGGTGCCTCCACGGATGTCATCTGAGGTGTCTGTTAAGTACTGGGTGCTCTCAGTGTGGTAGACATACGTTGTCTTAAGCCTTGTTTTTACTTGTCTTGAATTTTGCTATTGGCCTCAGATACTGACAGTGCATACTTCATTCACTTTCAAGAAAAATGTCCTCAAGTCTGAATAACTGGTTGTTGGTCAAGGGTTCACTTAAATAAACATAGTACGTCTGAGAAAGATGGCTGACTCAGCTCACTGCTCAAATGGTTGGCTTAGCTGCTCCTCCCTCAGAACATTGTCAACATGGTGCTCTACGGGTGTTTTCTATTTTGTCTTATGAATATTGAAATGATATGTACTCAGTACTTTTCTGTTGCTGGGATGAGACATCATGACAATGCAACTTATAAAAGAAAGCATTTAATGGGGCTTGCGTACCGTTTCAAAGGTTAGTCCATGGCCATCATGGTCAGGGGCAGCATGCAGGCTGTCACAGCACTGGAGCAGTACCTGGGAACTTACAGGTTACCTGAAAGTTAGAGGCAAGGGAGAGAGACTGGACCTGCTGTGGACTTTTTTTTTTTTTTTTTTTTTTTTTTGGTTTTTCGAGACAGGGTTTCTTTGTGTTGTTTTGGAGCCTGTCCTGGAACCCGCTCTGTAGACCAGGCTGGTCTTAAACTCACAGAGATCCTCCTGCCAGTGCCTCCTGAGTGCTGGGATTAAAGGTGTGTGCCACCAATGCCCAGAATGTAGTCTTTTGAAATTTGAAAGCTCACCCCCAGTGACACACCTCCTCCAACAAGGCCACACCTCCCAATCCTTCCCAAGCAGTTCCACCAACTAGGGATCAATCTTTCAAATATGAGTCTATGGTGGCTATTCTCTCAAACCACCACAGGGGTTTATGAAAATATATTCTTTGTTTTGCCAAGGGTTTTCTCATGTGAAATTATCATTTCCTTTCTTGTTAATGGGTGAAGGTGAAGAAGGCAGTGACTCCCAGGGCAGTTTGAAGGTGCTGCCATGATTCCTACTAAGGCAGCTGCCATGTCGCCTAACTCTGCTGTTGTAACATCTGCACAGATATTAGCACAGAATTTACATGGTTACCCTGAAGATCCAAAATCATCTTGTGCCTCGAATAGTTCAATACTATTTACGTAGTAGATTGTTCTTGATGTATTAAGCTGATAATAAGGGAATACAACAAAATAGCAGGCCTATCAATGCCCAGAAAGTTACCTGTTAATAAAGCAAAGTACCTTCAGATTGCCTACCATCCCTTTCTGTCCCTTGTAGCTAAGTCTTTTAATTAGCTAGGTTGCTGTGTATTGCCAAGAGGCAGATGGTGATATTCCTTTCACTATTGTTTCTTCCTCTAGTCGTACAGTGATACCGATCGCTTGCTTGTTTCTCAGCTAATATGTACTTCTATTGTAGCATGTCCATACTGTGAAAACTGATGCATTCTTGGTTTCTGGCTTGTAAAGGTTAATCAGTCCTTGACTTTTAAAGGGCTTACTATGTCTACGTTTAAAATGTTTGATTTCTTTTTCTTTATACCATGAATAACTGGCTATACAACTATACACAACTATACCAAAATATTTTGTGCATGTGTGGTATATATATGAAGTCTTGCTCTACTGATCTCTTCCAGACAAAGTCTCTCACTAAGCGTAGAGCTCAATGATTTGGCAGACAGTCTCTCACTAAACCTAGAGCTCAGTGATTTGGCAAACCTACCTGGCCAGCCAGCCCCAGGGATTTTCCTGTCTCTACTTTCCTACTACTGGGATTATAGACACATGTTGGGATTACAGGGGTGCACTGCCAAGTTCAGATCTGCATGATTGTGTGACAAGTACATAACCCATTGAGCCATCTTCCCAGCTGTCGTAAACATGTCTGTCTGTCTATCTATATGTATCTACCTACTTGTCTATCTACTTACTTATTTATACTGAAAGTAGATTTATAAAGGAAAACTGAGAAGGAACACCCACAGGAGGGATTCTCCATAAATATTCTTTAAAAGATGTTACACTTGCACTAGGTATAAGGCCTTTCATCAAAATTCCATTTCTTATTTATAGTTACCCCCAGTTTCTCCTATCTGTCAGTTTCAAGTTTCAGCATTTTTAGGTGTAGGCTACACAGCTGTAGACTGAGAATTGAAGTGTTCTTTCCTTTAGAACGGTTGCTCGTAGGACTCTCTGGTTTCAAACTTGGTACACAGATAAGGATGACCTTTATCTTCTGTCCCCACTGCCTCCAGCTCCCAAGTTCCAGAACTGTAGCTGTGTACCATGACACCTAGCTTTATGAGACACAGGGATCCAATCCAGGGCTTTCTGTACACCAGGCAGGCAAGCCTTCAGTGGAGCCATGGCCAGAGCCCGAGAATTTAAGGTTTCCAATCACATTTTTGCAGCTCATCCCTAGAATAGGAAAAAAGTTTATAAATATTCTTTTACAATGAGATAAAATAATATTTAACTCTAAAAGGAGTTTTGATTATAATTAAATTATTTTAAATTTAAATTATCAGATATCACGATGACTCAAATTAATGAATACAACTTAGTTTCTTGTTTTTGTGTAGCTTTCTGGGAGGAAATTAGGGATCAAAATAAGGATGTATTAAATTGCAGTGAGGTTACAGAGTTCAGAGCAGATGGCTAATGATAGCTAGTAGGTACACAGGAAAACCACAGAGAACAAACTGAGTTTCTGTTGTTTTTTTTTTTTTTTTTTTTTTTTGACACAGGGCCTCACCAGGCTGGTATTGAACTCTCTTTTCTCCTATATCTTCCTCCTGAATGCTGGAATTACAGTGTACAGTACCACTCCCAGTCTGTAAATTAATCTTTTATTTTTATTTCTTTATGAAACAAGTTTTCACTGTGTAGCTCTGGCTAGCCTCAAACTCACAGAGATCTGTTTGTCTCTACCTCCAGAGTACAAGGACTAAGGCCCTGCCTAAATTAGTATATTAAAAACACCACTTTTTCAGCCAGAAGCGGTGGAGCATGCCTTTAATCCTAGTACTCATAAGGTTGGTGGCTCTCTGTGAGTTTGAGGCTAGCCTGGTCTACAAGAGTGAGTTCCAGACCAGCCAGAGCTACATAGTGAAACTCTATCTTGAAAAACCAACCAACCAATCAGACAAACAAAAAAAATCACCACCAATAACAACAAAATACTCAAAATACTTTTTCATTCTTCCAATGTCTACCATAGAAGTAGATCAGCCAGAAAATGCTGACATCACCTATTATCTATGGTTGATGATGTCATCATATATCACATGTCTCTGGAAAGTTCCATTGTCTTTCCAGGAAGAGGGAAGGAGGTAAATGCTGTCTAGATTTTCCTTTGGTAATAAGTGGGGACTATAGGAGGGTGTGGCCATGTTTAGCTGGATGCTAGGGATCTGAACTTGGGTCCTCATGCTTGTGAGCCATCTTCCCAACCCCCACTTTTTTTTTTTTTTTTGGTTTTTTGAGACAGGGTTTCTTTGTATGGCTTTGGAGGCTGTCCTGGAACTTGCTCTGGAGACCAGGGTGGCCTTGAACTCACAGAGATCCCCTGCCTCTGCCTCCCAAGTGCTGGGATTAAAGGTGTGCACTACCAATGCCCGGCTCCCCCCTTTCATTTTAAAGACCCAGTTTGCTTACACTTTTAAGTTTACATTCAATATTTCTTTCTTTCTGTGGCAGGTTTATTTCAGGACAGTGCAACTTATAGAAGAGCCCATTAACGGGTCTTTGGGCCTGAGTTTCTACTTCAAAATTAATGGACTTCCTATATTTCTGAAAGGCTCAAACTGGATCCCAGCCGACTCATTCCAAGATAAAGTCACTCCTGAACTGTGAGTGTTGCTTCTTCGCCTGTCCCTCGCCTCCTTTCTGAAGTGCCACTAAGCTCAAAGTTCAAAGTTCCTCACATTTGCTTCTGTCACTCCCAGCAGAAGGACCAAAGGCTAGTGCAGCATGGTAGAATGACAGTAATTTCAGGAGAGACAAGATTATTTTCAGCCATTCCTTCTCCCTCTTCAGATACAGTCTTACAGCTAGCTAGCCTGAGACTGTTAAAGACATACTATTTAGCTGGGCAGTGGTGGCACATTCTTTTAATCCCAGCACTTAGGAGGCAGAGGTAGGTGCATCTGTACGAGTTCAAGGCCAGCCTGGTTTACAAAATTACAGAGAAACCCTGTCTAAAAAAAAAAAGAAAGAAAGAAAGAAAGAAAAGAGAAAGAAAGAAGGAAAAGAAAGAAAGAAAAAAGACTAACCATTTTACAAAACAATTATAAGTTTTCTCTGGAGAAAGAAAGTGGCAATGGTATTTGGATTAATTAGTCTCAAAAAATGTAAATTCAGCCTTTTGTTGTCCTTCAAAGAATGCATTACATAATGTTGAGTATGGCTTAAGGGATAGGAGCCTACATTTATTTCATTATACTAAGACATTATTTTAGTTTTTTGAAAATCTTCTTTTGTGTGTATGAAGTGTGTGTGTACACAACATGCCCATGTTCATGCACATGTGTAGGCTCACATGCATTCCACATGCCTGTGGAAGCGAGAGGATGTCATAGTCAGGGTTTCTGTTGCCGTGGTAAAGCACCATGGCCAACAACAATATGGGGAGGAACTGGTTTATTTGGCTTATGCTTCCACATCACCGTTCATCACTGAAGGAGTCAGGACAGGAACTCAAGCAGGGCCCTACCGCCTCCCATCTTATGGAGGCATTTTCTTTGTTGAGACTCCCTCCTCTCTGATAATTTGGCTTGGGTCAGGTTGACACAAAACTATCCAACACAGAGGACAACCTTGGATGTCAATCCTCATTGTCCATATTACTTGAGATAGGATAACTACATTGTTCACCACTCTGTGTGACAGGATATCTGGTCCAAGGGCTTCTAGGCATTTTGTTTCCACCTCCGTCTTGCCGTAGGAGCCCTGGAATTGTAGCCGTGTGCTATAGGCCCCAGCTTTGCGTGGTCCTGAGAATTTGAACTGACGCCCTTATGCTTGTGCAGTGAGCACTTTACCCGCTCAGCAGACTCACCAGCCCTTTTTCTGTTTCACTAAAGAACTAAAAAAATATTGGTGGGAGGAGAAAATGTAAAAATATAAGAGCACACAAAGTAGTCAGTATGTCTGGAGAAAAAGACTGAGGACCAGAAGGACAATGTGAAGACATGAGGATTCTGGGTAACAAAATTTTCCTATGGACAAAACCAAAGGGAGATAATTCAAATACATGGCTCTATTAATTCACTTCAGTAGTTACCTTGTTACTGTTACTAGCCTACAATACCATGCCATATACCTTAAACATGTACACAGTAAAACTTACAAAACAAGGCGGGCGTTGGTGGCACATGCCTTTAATCCCAGTACTTGGAAGGCAGAGGCAGGTGGATCTCTGTGAGTTCGAGACCAGCCTGGTCTACAAAGCGAGTTCCAGGACAGGCTCCAAAGCCACAGAGAAACCCTGTCTCGAAAAACCAAACAAACAAACAAAAAAACCAAACCAAAACAAAAACCTTATAAAACAAACCAAAAACTGGAAAGTTCTTTATCTGGAGGCTAACTACAAGTGTTCTTTGAAGGTTTTGAAAATAGAACTTAAAAATTAATATACATTTATGTATATGGAGTGTGTATACTGCCTTTTTCTTTTGTGTATGCCTGTGTGTATATGTTCAGTGAATATGCATACGTGTGGAGGCTAGTGGTTGATGGTGGTTCTTACTCATCGCTGTTCATCCAACTTTTTGAGACAGGGTCTCTCACTAACCAGCCGCAATCACAGGCACATGCCTATGCATTCTGTTTCTTACGTGAGTGTAAGTCAAATCGAGGTCCATGCTTGTGGGGCAAGTACTTTACTTTCTAAGCCCTGCACTGCATTTTCCTACATGCCAAAATATAAAACAAAAAACAATGTAAGAAATAGGTTACCTACAGAGAAACCCTGTCTCGTAAAACCAAAAAAAAAAAAAAAAAAAAAGGAAGAAATAGGATACAAACATCTTACCTAATGAAGGAATCATGCATAGTTTTTGTTTTGTTTTTCCAGCTTGTTGGCTTTAATGTTACTACAACTTGTAACACCAACCTGGTTCTAGGCTGTATTAATTATAAAGCTGTTGGCTGTTTGCTTGGTTTCTTATTGGCTAGCTCTGAATTGATTATTGACCCATAATTGCTAATATATATTTTACAAGGACTTATCTTTTTGAGAATGTCAGACTTGCGTTCCCTCCTCGGGGGTCACATCGCGACATCTCTTCACTACATTTCCCAGAATCCTCCACCTCTCCTAGTCCCACCTATCTTGCTTCCCTATTGGCCAACAGTGCTTTATTGACACCAGTCAGACACATATTTACAGAATGACATCTCCCAACAACAACTAGTCTCTGTGTTATTTTATCTCAGTTTTTTTGGCATTGATTAGAACAAGTCATTTGATTTTCAGGTGGCTTTTTCCCTAAACATTGGTGAAATATTTTGTTCCTTCTCAGGTTGCGGCTCCTTTTGCAGTCTGTTGTGGATGCCAACATGAACACACTGCGCGTGTGGGGAGGAGGTGTTTATGAGCAGGATGAATTCTATGAACTCTGCAATAAACTTGGAATAATGGTGAGTATGTGATACCATCTTGATGCATCTGTAGGAGGCTGACCCCTCACTCTGATGTTCTGAGTTGATGCTGAGTTGCTATTATTGCCCCTTAGTACCTCGCTTAGAGCAGGGAATCATGTTCCTTATCTGTGGGTTCCTATTTATCCATATTCACTTTTTTATGAATTTTGGACAAGGGATAAATGAACTGCAGTTGTTAACAAATATCAGAATTTTTCTACTGTTAAAAATAAAAGCTATTATATATGAGTTGTACCTAATAAAATATCTATCTCCACTTCCTTCATAACTTTTCTTGTGATATGTAGTTATACATAATAAAATAAGATATCAAATAGCATAAAGAGCTCTGATGAACTCTAGAGAGAAACAAAAATATTAAAATTAATCAAAGAAAAGATGTTCTTAGTATGCAAATTTTGCTATGAGGAGGACTAAGCTTAAGATGCCTCCATCCCTCATTATCTCTGAAGAACTGGCCAGGAGCCCTGTGGGCATGCATTTCCTAGATACTCAGCCCTGTCACATAAAGAAATGGAATGTTCACACAAAACTACACACATTCTTCCATGTGTATAACATGATACATTACCCACACACACACTGTATATTTGAAGTGTGTGTGTGTGTGTGTGTGTGTGTGTGGTGTGTGCCACGTGCATGCTTGGTGCCCTTGGAGGCTAGGTGAAAGAATCAGATATTTTGTATATTTTTTGACCCATAGTTGAATCTTTGGTTATTGAGGGCCAATTGCATACATTTTCAGTTCTGGAAATGCAGTTGTCAGATACACAGAGTGCCAGAGGGGAGTTGGGATCACAGGGACAATGACAGGCTGTGGCATCGTCCTGACGGCAGCCACATTGTTCAGTGCATGGCAGGCATCTTTCTCAGTGCGGTTTTTCTCATTTTATTATTTTTTTATTTAAATTAGAAATAAGCTTGCTTCACATATCAATTCCAGCTCCCTCACCCTCCCCTTCCCTCCTCCCCTGCCCCCACCAACTTCCCCCAGTCCCCACTTTGCTCCCCAGGAGGATGAGGCCCAAGTCTGTCATATCATCTGGGGCAGGGCCTTGGCCCTCCCCGATGTGTTCAGGATGAGAGAGCATCCCTCCATGTGGAATAGGCTCCTTAAGTTCATTTGTAAGCCAGGGATAAATACATATCTATTACCCCAGGCCCCATAGATTGCCGAGGCCTCCTCACTGACACCCACATTCAGGAGGTCTGGATCAGTCCCTTGCTGGCCTCTCAGCCACCAGTCTGGGGTTCATGACCTCCGCCTTGTTCAGATCAGCAGTTTCTGTGGGTTACTGGGCTGGAGGGTTAGCCCAGCCGTTAAAGGCTAGGCTCACAACCAAAAATACTTTTCTCATTTTTATTTATTACTTTTTTACGCCGTCATGACACAGTTACTCCTGTCTGTCCCATTTACAGAGTGTAAAACTGACCCAGGAAGAGGGTGTTTACCTTGCCCGAAAGTTCACCGTTTGTGGATGGCAGGAAGGCAGGCTGCTTGGGGCTTTGCTTTGATTAGCCGCTCCACCCAGGCCAGGCTGCCACACGGTCTCATTATTAAATCTTTCTGTCTGCAAGAAAAGTTAAATCCTTTCTAAACAAACTCTAATGTTAACAGTCTGGAGTATTTCTCGTCACTCAATGCCTGGTGAAATGAGGACGAGTAAGGACATGAGGAGGAGCCTAAGGCTTCATTTCCCCAGCTCTCCTGTTATTCCCTGACTCCTCCTTCCTTCCTCATCTTTCCTGCTCAGTTAGCGTTCTCTCGGGTTTCTAAACAATTTCGTGCAATGCTGGAAAGTCCTTCAGCACGTGGGCACACTGTAAAGAGATTCTCAGGTGGGCACATTTGCAGAACTTGCCCCCCCCCGTGAGAATGAAGTCAAGCTTTCTGTGGGATGACGCTGCCTGTTCTTTTGATCCATAGGTATGGCAGGACTTCATGTTTGCCTGTGCCCTTTATCCAACTGAGCAGAGTTTCATGAAGTCAGTGAGAGCCGAGGTTGTTTACCAGGTAGGATATTATTACACCCCCAGGGAGAGAAAACATATGCATCTTAGTTTTTCCTTTTGTTAAATCCCTCATTTCTTTTTGTTGCTTTCTGCTAAATCCTGTGGAAAATTGCAGTCTGGTAATTGATTTCCTGAGTGGTTCACCGGTGTCATGGAGATGTAACATCTACTTGCCGACAACTCCCAGGTTTATGCCAGGTCTTCCGGTGTGGTGGTGTGATCAGAGGTTTGATGGGCGGCTCAGGGTAACATGACCAAACCACCCACCCATCACTTCCCTGATCCTGCTGCTCCTGTCATTTTCCTCAGCAAATGACTACCACTCCAGCTCGGGACAAAGATTTAATATGGCTCTTGAATCCATGAATTGTTTTGCATTCTACATATGCCTACTCAGTGATTTTATGTGTCTATGTGTTTGTTTGTTTGTTTGTTTACTTCACTGGGACCTGAGAATCATCAATTAGGATAGGCTGGCCGGCCAGTGAGTCCTGGGATTCTCCTGTCTCTGCTCCCTCAACACCACAATTATGAATGTGCCCCACCCTGCTCGGTTTTCAACATGGGTGCTGGGGATGGAACTCAGGTGTAAAGCGTCTTTCTCTGTCCCACCAGCCAGCTCCCAAATAACAACACAGAGACTTCTTATTAATTATGAAAGCTCGTCCTTAGCTTAGGCTTGTTTCTCACTAGCCCTTATAACTTAAATGAACCCATTTCTATTCATCTACGTGCTGCCACGTGGCTCATAGCTTTTACCTCTCCTCCTGCATGCTTCCTCTGTGTCTGGCTGGTGACTCCCCCTTTATACTTCCCCAAACTCTCTCTGTCCAGAAGTCCCACCTATACCTCCTACCTAGCTATTGGCCGTTTAGCTTTTTATGAAACCGATCACAGTGACATATCTTGACACAGTGTAATCAAATATCTGGTAACACTCAGGTCTTCATGTTTTAGTAGAAAGTACTTAAATGATTGCGTTTCCTCCCCCGGTCTTTCAGAGAACTATTAAAATTGCCTGTCCATAGTGCACGAGTACCCATTTTGTGAATTATAAGGTAGGCAAGAATTTCTATGTGGAAACGCAGTGATTGCACTCATTATAGCTTTGAGTTCTTCTGTGTTAGGGATGGGGACATTCTTTTATGCTTCCTTAAATTTCAGATCAGGAGACTCAAGTCTCACCCCTCCATCATTATCTGGAGTGGCAATAATGAGAATGAAGTGGCACTGAGTAACAACTGGTTTCATGTAAGTCCCAGTTACTTGAAAACCTACACTGAAGACTACGTGACCCTCTACGTGAAGAACATCAGAGAGATTGTCTTACAAGTAAGTCATGCTTTTGGCACAGTAGAATTTACGAGGGTGTTCTTAAAACGCGTAGGTCTCAATATTGGTGTAGTAGATTACATGGCTCTTTTAAGGCAGTGGTTGGGGCATCACTTGAGGTCAGAGCATTCCATTATAATGCGCTAGCATAGGAACCTATACATGGGTTGTGTGTGGGTTTCTTGGAATATAAACTATCTTTGGGATTCTCTACACATACTCAGTACTTACTAGTGCAGGGTATCGCACACTCTAGAGTTCATGCACAGATCTTCAACTGTGTACTGAGTCTCTAGGACAGATGCTGTGATGGAATGCCACCTTTCCAGGTCTGTAACTGCGTATGTGAGTAAAGATGTTCTTGTGTGTGCTGATGTGTATTTTGGTGTGTATCATATATGAACATCTCAGTCCATGGTGTGAGGGTCATGAGAATAAGGCAATTCTGGTTGCCAGGGGATTTCGGGGTTTTCTTCTAGGGTGGTTCTCTTTGCATCACTATTTATTGTGAACTAGGCATGTTGAACAGTGTGTGTTAATAATAATACGTTGACTTTTTTTTTGTGGTGACAAGAAGGTAGTATTTTTTTCAGTAACCATTTCAAAAGATTGTTTTAAAAACTCTAATATTTACTAAGTAATTTAATAATTTGGCCATCTTTACAATTTCATCTGTAATTGTATATTTGGTATCTTCTCAAGCAATTTGAAAAAGGAATATATTTTTAAAAACAGTATGTGATAGGTAACATCTACGTATGCCTAGTCAATGATTTTATGTGTATATATATTTGTTTTTATTTTATGAGTGTTTGCTTGCATATATATGTGTGTACCACATACATAGCCAGTGTCTGTGGAAGGCTTTGGATTTCCTGGACCTAGAGTTACAGGTGTTGTGGGTATTAGAGAAATGGCTCATCAATTAAGAATACTTATTTCATATCTGATCAATGCAAGAGATTGACTTTAATGTCTGGGGATTTTTTTTTTTTTTTTTTTTGGTTTTACGAGACAGGGTTTCTCTGTATTGTTTTGGAGGCTGTCGGTCCAGCCCGGCCTCGAACTCACAGAGATCTGCCTGCCTCTGCCTCCCAAGTGCTGGGATTAAAGGCATGCGTCACCGCCACCACCACCCGGCTGGGGATTTTTTTTTAACAGTATAGTGATGAAGTGCCCATGCTTCACAATTCTGTCTACGAAGCCTTTGGTTGTCCTGCGCTACCGTCTCGCCAGCAAGAACGACGCGGCACACTTAGGATCATTCTGTAGAACAGCTTTAATGCGTCTTGAGAGGGAGAGCATAAGCTTACAGAGCAGAGACCCGGGGGAGCGAAAAGCCCAACCCTTATATAGCTCAGCAGTCCCCGCCTCGGACGTGTCATCTCCTGACTGGCTCCTGCTCGTCAGCCCATATGACGCCAAGGGAGAGGCAGAGAGTAAGGGATAGAAAAGTAGCAGGCACATGCGCACCAAGGTTGTTTACTTCAACTGACAACGGGTGTCAGCGCCATCTTGTAACGGAGAATGTGGGGGCGGCTCCCCACATTTGGTAACTTTCTTAACGTCTACTTTTCCACTTTTAAAATTGAGCTAGAAAGAGGGACTAACTCTTGGAATTCTTTGTGTCAAACTTCACAGATGACTTCATTCTAGGTAATGATGATGTTTACAGATTTGCTTAAATGCTATGTAATAATTACTGTTGTTTCTATCAAGGTATAGATGTTATGATTAGTTCCCAGTGGTTCATCTTGCTCTAAATGAGCATCCTAAGATCATGGTCTTGAATTTCCTTCATTTTACAGATAAAACTCCCAAGGTTAAGACCTGTCCCAAACCAGGAAGATTCTGAGTTGAGTTTTAAATAGCAAATGTATTTGGCTCAATAGCTTTTGTTCTTAACCCAGAGTTCCTGAAATGCAACAATGTTGTCCCTAGAGAAAATTTGTCACAGCTGAAGACACTTAGTAAAGATGTTGTAATTTAAGAAAAGCAGTTTGAGAGAGAAAGATGCCATGTAACAGGGTTTGGGCAGAGGGCTTTTTAAAAATTATTCTCCTCCAGGGACAGGAGCAGCAGGAGAGAGGAAAGAGGGGAAAGACATGGAGAGAGAGAGTGAAAGAAAGAGGAACAGAGAGAGGGAGAGAAAGAAAAAGAGAGAGGATGGGAAGTGGGCAGGGCTTTCTTCAAAGGGAACATAGTGAATGTGCACAGGTGGTGCTCTTAGTGGTTGCAGCTGTGGGCATATCCTGTCAGAACCCCAAGGACAGACCAGTACAGATGCCTGAATACCAACAGAAGGGACTCGTGCCATCTGGCAGGTGTTATAAGCTAGAGATGTTGTTAAATGTCTCTCATGACAAGAGACTCAGACCACTCATGTCCATGTCCTATATTAACACAAAGGTCAATTGTACCATAGCTGAGAAATCCAAGAAACGATACACTGTCTGCGGGGTAACCAAGGAGGCAAAACGTGGCTGAAAACATTGCGAAGAGGTGCCAGGAGGCATGATCTTGGGCACTTGTAATGGGAGAAGGATAGCAAAGATGATCAGGGCAGTGTTGACAGAGTGGTGACCATGCTGTGAATTTCCTCTCAGCTATTTGGCATTTCTAGGAATCGATGGTATTTTTTTTAAAGAGCTTGTGTCTATACCTTACCAAATCAACATATTATACTTAAAATCATTTTCTTTCTATGTCCAGGAAGACAAGAGCCGTCCTTTTATTGCATCCAGCCCTACCAATGGGGTCCAAACCGTGGCAGAAGGCTGGGTCTCGGAAAACCCTTACAGCAACCATTATGGAGACGTCCATTTTTATGACTATTTCAATGACTGCTGGAATTGGAAGGTCTTCCCCAAGGCTCGATTAGTATCCGAATATGGCTACCAATCCTGGCCTTCCTTTAGCACTCTGGAAAAGGTAAGCCAAGCCATTGGCCTCTCAATTTTCTCATGATTTACAATAGTAGACAGTGGGTTCAGACAGTCAGATGAGAGCCACTTCTTATTTAATTGACAGCTCAGGGAGAGGATGGAAGAGAAGAACTCTTCTTTGACATCTGGACAGCTAGGATCTTATGATTGCCATTTTGATTGGGTAGCTTTCCAGTATGTTTTTAATTGTGGGCCTTCAGGAACACTTGGAAGTTAGATGGAAGCCCAGCGAATCTTACACTTGACTTGTAATTGTGCACTGAAACAACTCTGGTTGATAAAAACATTATTGCTTTGTTTATTATGGGTGTTTACTCTTGCTGTGTGTGTGTGGTCACAGGACAACTTGTAGATGCTGGTTCTCTCTTGCCATAGGAGGTCTGGGGATCTAATTGTCAGGCTGGGTAGTAAGTACTTTTCCCCCTTGGGCCATGGCGCTGTCTCCGAATTGATACTTTGTATACAGTCTAATCATTTATAGCTATTCAGAACTACTTACCCAACCGTGTTAGAAGAGAGCAGGGTAAGCAAGTCCTCATCAGTGTTACCTAGTTTTCTTTTCTCCTTCCGCCTCTTCCTTCATGTCTGCCTTCTGTCTCTCTTGCTGCTTTTTCTTCATGTTGGTATATCTGGTTTTCTTTTTTTTCCACAGGTTTCAGGCTTCTCTGTGTTGCTTTGGAGCCTGTCCTGGAACTTGCTCTGTAGACCAGGCTGGCCTCAAACTCATAGAGATCCACCTGCCTCTGCCTCCCGAGTGCTGGGATTAAAGGCGTGCGCCACCAATGCCCAGCATTGTGCCTGTTTTTGAATGAGCATTTTCAGACCTACTGGGTACAAGTCCATGAGTGCAGCTGCTGAATCATTAAATTACTCCTTTAGTGCTCAGCATTGCTTTCTGTAGTGACTGCACCGATTCCCTTTCCTCCCAGCCCTTTCTGCATCTTTTCCAACACGTTTTTTCATTTTAAAAACCACTTTTTTGTGGAAATATAGTTTTAGATAAAATTTGCATTTCTTTGATGACTGATTATTCTGAAAAGTTCTTCAGGCACTTATTGCAATTTGTATAACTTCTGTTGAGAGATGCATATTCAGATCCTTTGTTCATTTTTATTTATTCTTTTTTTTTAGGCAGAATTTTGCTAGTTGCCCAGGCTGGCCTGGAACTCATTCCACAGTCTAGGCCAGTGGTTCTCAACCTTCCTAATGCTGTGACCCTTTAAATACAGTTCCTCATGTGACCCCACCCATAAAATTATTTTCATTGCTACTTCATAGCTGTTATTTTGCTACTACTGTGAATCATAATGTAAATATCTGTGTTTTCCATGGTCTTAGTCAGCCCCTGTGAAAAGATCATTCAACATCCCCATAGGTTGAGAACTGCTGGCCTAGACAGTTCTTGGATAAGGAATATGAATAAATTCTAAAGCATTTACTATTGTGATAGCATTTGATTCTTATTTAAAACTGTGACATTTTAAACAGAATATCAATTGTAGCCCATTATTCAACTCTTAAAAACTTAATAACAGAATTTACCTATATAAAGGAAACGGTAGTGCGAGGTACCAGTGAAGCCAGTTTGCTGGCACTGGTTTGTAAGCTCAGCACTGGAAGGAAGGAGGATTAGAAGCTCAGCATAATGCTAGCATGTTAGAGGGTGTGGGGTCCTATCCCAGAAAGAAGATACAGGTAATCCATGTCTTAACAAACAGAATTGTGTTTTGCTAGGCAAGGCTTTCAAGAGAATAACTAAAATGTCATCTTCTAGATGTGAATGGAGATCACTGTTCCCAATGTGGATCCTGCCTGGTTAGTCCTTTATTAGTAATAAGGAGAATTTTTTTTAATGTGTGAAATTTACACCACAGAACAAACCTTAAGTTCTTTTCCAACGTGTAGAGCGCTTTCCAGGTGGTCAGGAACGTATAAGAAAGGTAGTTTTACCGCTAAGTTCCGTGACTCTTCTTTATTTATTTGAAAGGTCTCATCTAAAGTGGACTGGTCTTACAGTAGCAGCTTTTCCCTTCACCGGCAGCATCATGCAAACGGTAACAACGACATGTTGCAACAGGCTCAGCTTCATTTCATACTTCCCCAAAGGACAGATCCCTTGCGCAAATTTAAAGACACTATCTACCTTACTCAGGTAAGTCATTTTCAGCGTGGAGTTGACAGGCTTCTACTCTGAACATATGCAGTCATGCAGATTGTGTAGGCTTTGGATGGTTTGCATTCTCTTGATTAAGACTTTTGTTTTCTTCACAATTCAGTTATGATAGCCCATAAGACCTGCATTTCATTTTTGGCTTTGTTTCTCCTACAAGAATAGCTTATGAAATTCTACAACAAATTGTGTGTTAAAAAAGTTTGCTAGTTTAACATTAGCATAAAGGTTCAGCAATGAAGACAATAGTAGAATTTCTCTAGAGGGACACATGATAAAGTTACCGGCTTTCTGACTGTGCCCCCTGGCAAATCACGTGGAAAAGAATAGAGTTGTCAGTGAAGTATGCTATCAAGTGGAAAGCTTTAGAGGAAAATCAAAGTCCTCCATGTGTACAAATTAATTTCACCACTGCCTTGAGATTCAAATGTGACGGTTTGGAGCAGAGCCATGCTTACATGCTCCAGGTTGTGGGTTTGACCCTGAGACAGAGAAAACAACCTGGAATATCAAAGCAGTACATAAACTCCTTGGAGAGAATACAAGACAATATCTTCATGACTTTGAGACAGATGAAGAGTTCTTAAAGCTTAAAACACTCACCATGAAAGAAAATGTTGATAAATTATATTTCACTAAAACTACTGGCTTTTGAATTTTTTTTTTAATATTCAAAAACAAAAGCACTACAAGAAAGGGGGAAAGGCAGACTGAGCATTTACAATTCATTATGTGTAGTTGGTCTGGCCCATGTCTTCTGTCCTGTCTGTTGCTTACCAAATAAGTCACATTTAATTCACGCGTGGGCCTACAGTACAACATTTCTCTTTCCCCTCCGAGTTTTGCAACCCCAGTTGTCTGTGGCACAGGAAGGTAGCAGGTGCCCTAACTGAGTCAGTTTCTCATTATCTGACTGTCACCAGATGCCCAACAAATATGCTAGGGACAAATGAAGGCAGTAGAGGGGGCTGTGAGCTAAGGGGTTGCTGAAGACTGACCGAGCCTCCCGGTGTAGGTGGTAGTGGGTGTGGCATGCCCTGCCGTTCAGTTAGGCGCTCTTCAAAAGTGGAAGCTGTGAGTCAGAGATAAAGCATGCCCGGGTGTGGGGTCATTTGGGGCAGTTATATATGACCAGAGAAGAAGGGAGAATGAGAGGGGACTTTGGAATATTGGGAGAGTTGAAGAGGCACAGGACTAGGCGACAAAGCCAGGGGAGGCGCTCCATGTTTATGAAGAAGCTTGCAGCCAAGCCTTCTCAGTTCAAACTCTTTTGATAGCTACAAAGTTTGGTCAACTAATAATGTCTCGAAAAGTGCCTTGGCACCTGTCCTGTTCCTCTGAGTCTTATGGGTGACTAATAACAGACTGTGAGAATGAGTAAGAGTACAAAGGATAAACCAGAGAAAGAATTTATCTATCTTCCTTCCTTCCCTCTCCCTTCCTTCCTATCATTTAAACAAATTTCAATGAAACAGTATATAAGATTACTCAGTCCTGGCATCTCCCTAATTTTGGTGTGTTTGTTCTGTTCCTTTTTTATCTGATAAGGCCTGCCTATCAGTTCTAGGGTTTTAAAATTTTTATTATTTATTCACGATTTTTGTTTGGTTTTATCCTGGCGATGACCACCTTGCTGGGGCAAGTGCTCCCAGGAACAGGGAGAGAAGGAGGAGGGGGCATGTAGGGAGAAAGATGGAGATAGGAGGATACTGGGAAATCAAAAGTGGTTCCTCTAGAAGAGCAGCCAGGGCTCTTAAGCACTGAGCCATCTCTCCAGCTCTTCAATCTCATTTTTACCCAAGCAAATGAAAATTAAAGCCATTTATGATGCATACCCACCAGAATTCCTCTAATTGAGGTCACCAGCAGCTGCTGAAGTAAGGTAGGCCAGCTGGAACTGTAAAACACCGTAGGACCAAGTGTCGCTTTGTTTAACCACTTTGGGAAAATTTCTGTCTGTTTCTGTCAAAACTAAATACTTGGTTTCCTTATAAATCAGATACATACCCAAGCAAATACATTTGTCTACTAATAGTCATCTAAAGTACTGTTCATAGTAGTGTTGCTCATAACAGCCTCCAGCTAGAAACAGCATGGGTGTCCTTTAGTAGGAAAACTATATGCAGTGTGATTTGTTCCCATGATGAAAACAGTCCACTGCAATACAGAAGGATACGCACTCATTGTATTATATCAACTTAGGCAGCTCTCACACAGAGTGTGTCGAGTGAGCAAACAGAAATAGTTTGTGTTGAAATCTAAGTGTAGGGAAGACTAATGGAGACAACTGGAGGCAGATGGGCACCGGGGAATCATCTGTTCCTGGGTTTTAGTGAGCTGAGTTTGTCTGGGCATTTGGCATTAGTAGCCAGCTAAGCCTTGGCTCAGAACTGAACTTCCCCTCACTCAGCTTCACACTTGCCTTCATGCTTCCTCAACGAAATTAATCTGCTACTTTTTTTCTTTCCCCTTCTATCTCCACCTTTCTCAATCAAGGCTTTCTTTTCAGATGAGTCTATGCTGCGTCACATTGACAATTAAGCTAATTAGGACAGCACCTAACCTAACCAAGCATGGTAGCCTAGCAACACAATAATATGTTGCAACACATCAATCGGTTGTTACCCTTTTGACCACATGTGTTTGTAGCTTCATGGGAAGAGATTATGGTACCACATAGTGTTAGCATCAGAAAGAATAAAAAATGAAAGTTCAGATAGGAGGTTCAGTTTCTACTGAGTGCACATTAGTTTTCATCATTACAAAATTGAGGAATCATAAACCAAACCACTGTTATCTGGGGACTAGTTGGATTTAGAAATATAGTTCAACAAAGAGGCACAAGAGCTGCACAAAAACCTGTGGAAAGGAATTACATAATTAAAACAACTCCTAGTGTCCTTAAACCAGAAGGCTTGGTTGTGAAAATGACAGTACTCTCTGAATGGATCTACTAATTCAATGCTGTCAACATTTCTATTACCTTTCTCTCTCTCTCTCTCTCTCTCTCTCTCTCTCTCTCTTTCTTTTTTTGAGAAATGGGCAGGCAGATTCCACAATACGTCTAGAAATATAAGATATCCGGAATAATCAACACAGTTTTGAAAAAGAAGAGAGTTGGAGAGTTTATACTTACAATATTAAAACGTACTGTAAAGCTACTGAATCAAGAGAGTATGGTACACATAGAAATAAATGTGCTCTCTATGGTTAATTGATTTTTTTTTTTTTTTTTGGTTTTTACGAGACAGGGTTTCTCTGTATTGTTTCGGAGGCTATTGGTCCAGCCTGGCCTCGAACTCACAGAGATCCGCCTGCCTCTGCCTCCCGAGTGCTGGGATTAAAGGCGTGCACCACCACCGCCCGGCAATTGAATTCTTAAAATTAAGTTTTTGTTTACTTCCAATTGACATATAAAATTGCCTATGTTTCTAGTAACCAGCAAGATATATATAAACACTGTGATCATTAATCTCCATTGTCAACTTTATGAGATCCAGAAGCATCCGGGATATGGACCTCTGGGCTCTCTTGTGGGGAAGTTATCTTGATTGGGCTCATGGAGGTGGGAAGCCATGTCCTGTGGGTGATGCTGTTTCCCAGGCTGGAATCCTAGGCTGTCCAAATGGAGAGTGAGGCTAGTACAAGCATTCATCATCACTCTCTGCATCTTGATTTTGCTTGTTTGGTTTTTGTTTTGTTTTTTCAAGACAGAGTTCCTCTGAGTAGCTTTGGAGCCTCTCCTGGAACTCACTCTGTAGACCAGGCTGGCCTTGAACTCACAGAGATCCACCTACCTCTGCCTCCCAAGTGCTGGGATTAAAGGCGTGTGTCACCACCACTCAAGAATGTAGGTACTTTTTGATAAACTAATATCATTTCTTTGGAATCTAAACCTACTAGTGTATCTGTTAGACTATAGTGAAGCTCTATTTTAAAATTTTGAGGACCCTCTATAGTGTGTTCTAGTTTCATTCACAAGACCATAAAGTAGTGAGAAGGATAGAATTTTCAGTAGATGATTTTGGAACAGGTAGATACTCAAATGCAAAAGAGTAAATGTGGACTCCTACTTCCCACCACATAAGATTAACCAAAATGGATCTAAGAGTTAACCCTAAGATGCAAAGCTAGAGAAGAAGATATACATCCAGCAGGGTAGATGTGACACGCTAAAGCATGCAGCTTCCAGGCCCTCTGCCTGGATGTTTGCTACCAAGACCCTGAGTCCCGCCTTCCTGAGAGCCTGGCTGATTCTAATTCCCAGGGTCTTCACTGCAGCTTCAGCATCACACTCATGACTCCACGTGTGACCCTGTGGGGGAAGGGGGGCTGCTTTCAGGGCCTCTGGCCTTCCATCACACCTTGGTCTCCCCTCAGTTTTCTTTGAGACCTGCACTAGCAGCCTCTATGCTCCTGTAATGTTTGCATGTTGCCTGCCTGCCTGCCTGCCAAACCAGCATCACATGGGAGATGTCAAGGTTTGCTGCTGTCCCAATTCATTCTTGGACCACTGGAGTCCAGGTGCATTGGTTTCTGAATGCCCTACTGCCTTAGGCAGCCATGGGTAAGCGGAGCATCCCGGGAGTCCCTTCTCGGAAGACTCTTGCCTTCAAAGTCTTTGAACACAATTTGTATTTCTCTATCACTGAGCCGGTGATGGGTGGAACCTCTTCTGTATTATCCCAGCAGAGTGAATTTGGCTTGTCTTCCGCTCCCCGTACATCGTTAAGATTGAGCATGCCTTTTCTGGTCAAGTTTCGGTTATTTTAAAACCTTACTTCTCTGCTTCTCAAAGTTCTGGCTCTGTATGCCTGGCCTAAGCATTGAGAGATGCCATTGTCATGGTCTAAATGGTGTGCTGCCTAGAGTTCCCCTGCTAGACAAGCTAGCCTGTCTCTCATGAAGTCTCGAGTGTAGACAATGTGCATCCAGATTCTTTGCCATAACACTGCTAATTCCAAACAGAACTCTCACTTCCCACTGAATCCTCATCAGTCTGGCCTTTACTTTCTGTGTTCCTATCAGCATTTTGATTTCTGAGTTCCTACCAGAATTTCCCATTAAACTCTGCTTGCTGCTTACTAGGGTTTTTCCCCCTAGCCTATTCCCCCAAACATTCCCAAACTCTTTCTGTAACCTGCCTGGTTCAGTAGTTTCTCCCATAGCATCTCTGCTATAGCAATGACTACCTGCTTGTTTGTGCTATTTTTTTAAATTAGTTTTTCATCACCAGCAAATACCAAGGACAAAAACCTTAGGAAGAGAAAAGTTTTTTTTTTTTTTTTGGTTGTAAGTATTGAAGGTTTTAGTCTATGACTGGCTGGTAGCCCATCATGGCTGGAACTCACCAAATTGATGTGCCTACCTCAAGATCAGGAAGTGAAAGTTAGGGGTTCCACGGCCCTCTTTGAGGGAATACCCTCCAATGATACTAAAACCTTTATAGTCCTTATAGCTTAAAGTTTCTAACAGCTGTCTAGTATCAAATTGGGGACCAAACCTTTAAACACTTAAGGTAATTATCAAAACCACATGATGACTCTTAAACATTATTCTTGATTGGTGAAAACTGTCTGCCTTTGGGATGTGCTAACCAGGGGGTGGAGAGATGGCTCAGCAGTTGAGAGCACTCTTTGCTCTTGCAGAGGACCTGGGTTTGAATTCCAGCACCCACATGGTGGCTCACAACCATCTGTAACTTCATTTCCAGGAGATCCAATACCCAATTCTTACCTCTCCAGGCAGTAAGCATGCAGGTGGTGCGCGTGCATACACGCAGGTAAAACACTCACACATAAAATAGAGTAAATCTAATATAAATTAAAAAGAAAGATTTGAATTATAATATATGATAATGAGATTTGCAGAAGAGTTTAGAGCCAGGTGAATAATTTGAACCTCATTATATTTTTTTCTTCTCCCTGAAAAAAAAATCAAATTTATTGTGACTAGAAAGACATGCTATGTTCATCAAAGCCACAAGGAAAACATCTAGTTGTGGCTGTTTTAGAGTCAACCAAGCATGAGCCAACTCTTTTTATATGTCATAGCTTTGTCCTGAAAGCTTTCTCTCTGCCTGAAATGGGTGGTCTCTTTACTTATGTGCCAATAGCTTGTATTATTCATCATCCCGGTGTTTGCTTTTCTCTTAACACCTTGTTTATAAATCTAGATCTAAGGAATGTAGCTTCTGTCCCAGATGCCTTTCCTCCATTGCTGTCCACTTTATTAAGGCAGGTCTCTTGCTGAACCCGGAGCTTACCAATCTCAGCTTGCTTTGGGGATCCTCTGTTTCTGGTCCCCAGCACTGACACACCTTCCTGCATTTACCTGGGCACAGGGACCTGAACTTCATTCCCACGTTTGCATGGCAAGGGCTTTATCCACACAGAGCCACCTCCCCTGAGGTGACAACACTTATCAGGCAAGGAAGGGTATTTACTGCAGACCCAGACCTGACACACCTTCCCCATCTGTCTCCACTAAGGTTTCACTTTTCTTTGTTTGGTTGGTTTTGAAGACAGGGTTTCTTTGTAGCTTTGGAGGCTGTCCTGGAACTCACTCTGTAGCCCAGGCTGGCCTCAAATTCACAGAGATCTGCCTGTCTCTGCCTCCGGAATGCTGGGATTAAAGGCGTGCACCACCACCATCTGACACAAGATTTCACTTCTTGGCTGCTTCTCTTCACAGAACATTCTAGAAATTGCTTTACTAAATTGATTTGGTACAGTAACACAGGCCGATGCTTACTCTGGGGATCCAGATTCTCAGTGCATAGGTATCAAGGTTTCAAAGTAGATAGATCCTGCTCTGTTTAGTTGAGACAAGAATTTCTTTTCTTTTTTAATGTAAAGAATTTGGCCAGAGGTCCTGAGTCAAATTGCAGATTAGCTTGACTGACAGAAAAATTGTTTTGTCTGTTTTTTTTTATTTCATCCCCTTGGAGATACATTTAGACCAACACATTCCAAGTGTACACTGTGACCAATCTGAGCTGTCACCAGTGCTGCTGCAGAGATTTTTTTTTAAACTGGCTGTCATTGCTGCGGTTCCCAGCAAGCTGGCTCAGAATGAGCTGGCTGTGTCTTAATCAGCTCAACAGACAGCACTCTTTCCTAGAAGCTGAACTCTGTGGATGCTTCCCTACATCCTTCTAGCCTGCCCAGCCCCTTCTCTGCTCAGAAGTCCTGGTGACGTTTTGGAAATGAGAGTTGACTACGTCACTCTTTCCTAGAAGCTGAACTCTGACTTCCCTACATCCTTCTAGCCTGCCCAGCCCCTTCTCTGCTCAGAAGTCCTGGTGACGTTTTGGAAATGAGAGTTGACTGCGTCACTCTTTCCTCTTGTAGCATGCCAGGACTTCAGCTGCCTTCAGGATACAGCAGCCCCTTGCCACGCTTTTCACGACTTCTCTGGTCAGGGTCTGAATTCCTACCAGGTTCTGCCACTGCTCCAGGCCTTCTCCGCCCAGGCCACCCTAGCCCACCCTCTGTTCTTAGCCAGCCCACACGCACACGCGTGTGCACATGCACGCACACATACGCCACTGCACCTCACAGACTTTGTTCTCTCTGGCTGGAAGGTTCTGCTCTATCCTCCTAGGACGGTCCTTACTTTTCTACTGAGCCCCTTTGCAGTACCACTGAGACTCAGCATTGGTTGGCCTGTGTTCTATACAAGGCAGTAAATGCCATTACAGTGGGATATATCCTCTTTTTCACTTGGACAAGAGGTTTAACATCACGGACACGTTGTATGTACTTCACTGTCACTATTCACTATTTGTGGGATGACCGTGACTTCACCCTTCTGGAAATGTATGTCTGACTCATTCAAGCAGTAACTTCATTGTTCCTTCCTCCCCATCCAGCCTAGCACTGTCCAAGAATTCTTCCTTCATCTGAGATTTGTTGTTTATAGAAGTGATCTGCAATTAGTTTCCTAGTGGCTAGGAATGTTTCTTTTTCTCTTTCTGGGGTGACTCACACTCTGTTCTAGGGCCTCCCTGTTCTGTGAGTGATATCTTATTGCTCTGATCGTCTCTCCAGGATCTCTGAGCCCCTCCTAAGCAGAACTCCAAGCTAAGACCACAAGGTACAGTGTCAGTAAAAGCAGCAGTAAGAAGGACCGAGTTTTCAGAGATGGTGGCGGGAATTGAGGACCTGCCTGGAGTTTGTCTGTGCCTCTTAAACAAGAACTAGATGCTCTCCATTGGCTGGCACAATACCATCTGTCCTGACAGGCCTGAGAAGCTGTAGGTTAATTATAAAAAACCGTGATGTGAAAAGTTAGAAGACAGAGACTGGATAATTCACTCAAGGCAACAATGTTGTTTTTCTTCCAGTTTTTTTTTCCTAATAAAAGTTTTTTTTCCTTTTTTAAAACTCTGAATGTATTTGTAAAATCTGCTGTTGCAAAACAACCTGATGTTTGACTACATGCAGCATTTGTTCTGGAATAATAGCTTTTGTTTTCCCTCATTGCTTACATCATTCTTGGCTTTTAGACCATCCTATTTGCTCTGTCACCTGCTCTTATGACAAATAAAAACCAAGCCCGCCCCCCACAACCCTCTGTTGTAATCATCAGTTTCTCTCATGCCAAGGAACTAGCTCCAGCTTTAATACAAATAATGTATCCCCAATGCTAGTCCAATTGTCTAGTTTATCCAATTCTGGAATCTAGAATAATGCCAACGAATAACACCTGTGTGTGAATATCTCCTGAATCAGGTGATGCAGGCCCAGTGTGTCAAAACAGAAACCGAATTCTACATGCGCAGCCGCAGCGAGATAGTGTATGGAGAGGGCCACACCATGGGGGCACTCTATTGGCAGCTGAATGATGTCTGGCAAGCTCCTTCCTGGTCCTCTCTTGGTGAGTGTTTCTTTGTGTGAGCTAAATCAGTGCTTGTGTGGAGAGGGACTGGGAAAGCACGGAGCCCGAAGAATCAGATTGTCCCCGAGGAGAACTGGGCAAAGAGGCTGTTCCCTGAAGCTGCCCCGTGAACTCGTCACCCAGCTGCAGTCTTTCCATGAGCCTGCTATGCTGGACAAAAGCAGGCTGCTGAGAAGTTACAGAGAACCCAGGTGTGATATGGGGTGAAGTGGCGCGCGGGCGTGTGTGTGTGTGTGTGTGTGTGTGTGTGTGTGTGTGTGTGTGTGTGTGTAGTATGTATGTATTTAGGTGTGTGTGTGAGTGTGTATGTATGTGTGTAGTATGTATTTAGGTGTGAGTGTGTGTGTATGTATGTGAGTGTGTATGTGTGTAGTATGTATGTATTTAGGTGTGTGTGTGTGTGTGTATGTGTGTGAGTGTGTATGTGTGTAGTATGTATGTATTTAGGTGTGAGTGTGTGTGTATGTATGTGAGTGTGTATGTGTGTAGTATGTATGTATTTAGGTGTGTGTGTGTGTGTGTATGTGTGTGAGTGTGTATGTGTGTAGTATGTATGTATTTAGGTGTGAGTGTGTGTGTATGTATGTGAGTGTGTATGTGTGTAGTATGTATGTATTTAGGGGTGTGTGTGTGTGTGTGTGTGTGTGTGTGTACATGGGCCAGAGATAGATATGAGTTGTCCTCTTCAATCATTCTCCCTTTACTTTTTTTTCCCCACCTGGAGCTCTTGAGCTCATCGATTCAGGCAGGCTGGCCAGCCAGCAAATCCCAAGGAACCCCGGTCTCTGCCTTCCCAGTGCTGGGCATGCTGGTGTGCCCAGGTTTTTACATGGGTGCCGAGCATCTGAACTTGCGTGGCAAGCAATTTACCAACTGAGCCATCCCCCAGCCCCCACTGCATAGCATTTTGAATTTATTTAAGCGGGTTTTTCAGGGCCCGAAGGGCATTGACCTTGCTCCATGTAGGAGAGTTCTGCCAAGCAGAAAACTGGGTCATGCATATGTCCCAGGGCCCCATCCGCTACCTCTAGCTTAAGTCTATAAAATCCCCATTATATGCTCTCTTTGTGTCTTGGAAGAGGTAGTGGAGTCAGAAATGCAAGTTGGAAAGGTTGCCAGCTCAACCATTTCAACTGGCAATGGGTGATGTGTCTGGAATAGAGTTTGCAGTTGGACCAGTTTCATCTACTTCTGTACCTTTAAGAAATGAAGGAGTCATAATGGGTCTCTGACCTCTAGCAGAGGAAGTAGTGGGATGCTGTCAGGTGAAAGATAGCAGTCTGTCCACCCTGATGGTTGTCATCTGTGAGGCCGTCTTTGCTCCAGGAGCCATCTCCCACTAGCATAAAACTCCCCATTAGAAACCCCGTGAGGCTGGCTTCTCCATCCCACACTGCTTCCACCAATTGCTGTCTTAAGAAACAGGAACCACTGGGAATGAAGCGTTAAGACTTGAAATTTTGCAAACCTCGAAAGATGCTGGTTTTGATCTTTCCTCCACCTTCACAGCTTGCACTGTATACTGTGGTGCCACCTCCCCTGTCCCCATGGAGACAGCTGTGTGCTGCTGTGCCCCAGGCTCTGTCCTACTGCACAGCATCCCTGAAGTGCTGGCTTTGCAAGTCAGAAAGCAGCCTGCAGAGGTTGGGCAGCACGCTCAATGTCCTGTGGTCCAGAAAGCATTGGCGACTGACTGAATCACGCCAGTTTTGTTTCTTTAAGTACGGTCTATTAATCACTCTGCTATCTTTGATTTATTGCTTCAAAGTGGCTTAGTCACCAAATTGCTTTACAATTGACAAAAAAAAAAAAAAGACGATCGGGATGTTTTTCTAAAACTTGTGCAGCTGGAAAAAAATGCTATCTGTTTAGTTAATTAAAATCTTTGTCATTTCTCCCTCCTCCAGATAGTAGTTGGCAATATTTTTTCGAAAGTTCACTCCCTACTTTAGCAGAATTAAAATTTACTTTTTACATCAACATCCTTGAGAAGGTTTTCCCACCTTTTTCTCTTTGTCTTCTGCTCCAGAAGTGGCCTTTATCAGGGAGAATCTTCTTTCTCTGACGGATATTGAGAAAGGAAGACGATGAAAGATTGACTGCGAAGCTGTGGTGGCTTGAACGAGAATGTTCCCATAGGCTCATGGATTTAAACATTTAGTCCCCAGCCAGCAGCACTGTTTGGGGACATTATGGAACCCTTAGGAGGTGGAGTGTTGTTAGAGGAAGTATGTCACTGGAGGTGGGGCTTAGAGGGTCTATCGCCTCGTACCACTTCCTGTGTGTGGCTAAAATGTGGTCACTCAGCTCCTGCCATGCCTTCCCTGCACTGTAGACTCTCTTTCAGGAACCTTAAGCCAAAACAAATGCTTTTGGCCATGGTACTTTTAACATGGTACTTTTAGCCTACCAGACATCTGAACAAGGCATGAGAGTTTTGTATTGTATTTGAGAAAGTATTATTAATTGCCACAGATTTAGGTATTTAGTGTGATTCTGAAAGCCATTCTATTTTGCTTAGCTTAGGAGGTTTTGTACCTGCGGGAAAGGAGACTGAAGTCTAGATGTTTCTTATGAATGAAAATTCACAGCAAGTGTCCTTTCCTGGTGCCACCGATTTCCTCCTTTATGTGTGTGTAGTAGAAAAGAACATTGGTAGCCAGGACACTGGTGCACTTTTGTAATTCCAACATGCAGGAGGCTAACGTTGTAAGATCCAGGATTTAAGTCTAGCCTGGATCTTGTGTTAAACAAATCAATCAATCAGTCAATCAGTCAGTCAAAAGAGCATTGATGTACTGAGCTTCTGGGAGAAAGGTCACCTCTAAGAAAGAGCTATCTTGGAGTAAAATCTGGGCTCACGATACTGTCCCCAGCATGTTTCAATTAAGTGCTTGCCTCGTTCTTCCCTTGGGAAATAAGCAGTTACTACCTGCCTTTATCTTTCTAATGTGAGGTTGACATGAAGCTGTCTCCAGAGTTGATGTTCAGAGCTGTTAACACACCTGAGTTCCCCCTAATACAAACACCCTCACATGTGGACGTCAAAAACTTCTGACAAGCTGTGCTTGCTGCTCATGTGGGCCTGGTCTGCCTGCCCATTCCTGGTGTCTCCTGACTGTCTGTTTTCAGAGTATGGAGGAAAATGGAAAATGCTACATTATTTTGCTCGGCGATTCTTCGCTCCACTCTTACCAGTAGGTTTTGAAGATAGAGGTGTGTTTTATGTCTATGGCGTGTCAGATCTTCACAGAGACTACAACACAAGGCTCACTGTGAGTTACTTGGATTGTGTATGTGTGTGTGTGTATCTAAGGTTGAGGGGGACTTTTAGATGACTTCTTTAATTGTTTGGAATACTCTTTTGGGGACATATCAAAATGCTTCTAGTGTATGTAGCATAAGCTGGGCTGTGTAAACATACAGTGTTCAGGCTAACATCTGCTATGCATTATATAACCTGGGCAAAGTTGTTACCATCTTGGGGATTCAGTTCCTTCCTTTGTCAGATAATACTAGTCTGTCTCCTTTAGTATTATGGGTGAAAGTGAATAGAAGAATTACATGAAGAATTGTGTAAACGTCAAAGTGCTGTGTAAATGTAAGATTATAACTGTGAGAAGCTGGTACTAGTCCAAATTTCACAAAAGAAGTAGTTAAAAAGGTGGGTAAGGCTGCAATCAGTAAAAGTATCTGGAATAGGTGTATAGAAAAATGAACTGTGTCTTCAGTTTAAGTAAAAAGAAAGACTTAGAAACCCTTCAGTGTCCACAGATTAGATGATTCCACTAGTGCTAGAAATAGGTCCTGTCTGTAGAAAACCTGTAATGTGCCAGGTACTGAGCAGACAATGGGTTGTTACCATTTTTAATTCTCATGACAGGCAGTAAAGTTTTCAGTGGAGTTCTTCTCATGAAGAAATGGATCCTGGGAAGCTGAGTGATTAGTTATATGGGTAGAACTTAAGGGGCTGTATGAAAACTCGGACTTAATAGTCAGCTGGTTCTTCTGGTCTGCTGTCCAGCCAATATTACCTTCCAAATAGACGGACAAAGCAGTAAACAGGAATGCCACTGTCACTCTTTTCTTCCCAGGTGAGGCTCTATACCTGGAGTTCGCTGAAGCCTTTGTGCTCTCTTGTGACTGCAAGAACTGTGATTAAAGCAGGGGCAGCGACGATTCTCTACAAGGAGCCAGTGCCTAAGCTGCTGAAGAGATGTAAGGGATGTATGAGGGAGACCTGTGTGATTTCCTTCCAACTTTCAACTGACAGTGACCTCTTCAGCCCAACCAACCACCATTTCCTGTCTTCCCTGAAGAATGCCAGAGGGCTGGCCAAGGCCAACATCACTGTGAGTGTCTCTGGTCTGGGGTCCCAGTGACCTGTGTTCCTTCAGTAAAAGTATCTGGAATAGGTGTATAGAAAAATAAACTGTGTCTTCAGCTTAAGTAAAAAGAAAGACTTAGAAACCCTTCAGTGTCCACAGATTAGATGATTCCACTAGTGCTAGAAATAGGTCCTGTCTGTAGGAAACCTGTAATGTGCCAGGTACTGCGGCCCAGGAATCACTGGGGGATGCTTGAGTCGCTCCACTTGTGACTCTTTAAATACAATTTATTAATCACTCCACTGCCTTTGATTTATTGCTTCAAAGTCACTTAAACACTGAACCTCTTTATAATTGGCAAGGAAAAGAAAAAGGATAATTAGAATGTTTTTCTCACAATGGTGCAGCTGGTAAACTTGGCAGTAGTTGGTTGAAAACCTTTCCTTTTTTTCCTTCCATGTAACACTTGACAACATCTTTCTAGAAAACTTCAGTCTCTGTTTCAGCTAAATTTAAATTTGTTAAAGTTTACTCTGCTGAGATTTATTTTTTTCAAGAGGACTGAAAACATACCTTCTTCCCAGATTAATGGTGAAATAGTCATGTGACCACATCCAAGTCCTCTGGAAACACTGAGGTAGAATGGAGATAAGAAAGTTGGCATATGCGTATGTCATTCAAATTTTTTTTTTTAAAAAAAACAGCAAAGTAAGAAATAACTTGTGGTGTTTTAATGAGAAAATGCCCCCCCCCCAAGCTTGAGTATTTGAGCTTTTGGTTCCCAGGCAGTGATACTGTTTGGGGAGGTTTCAGAGGTGCAGAACTTCTTGGAGGAAGTGTGTCACTGGAGGCGGGCTTTGAGAGTTTAAAGCTTCACGCCAGTTCTAGTTTGCTGTCCTGCTTCGCGATTGTGGTTCTAGAAGTGAACCCTCCGCTTCTGTGCCTGCTGCTGCCCTGCTGCTTGCTGCCACGCCTCTGCTCTGCCTTCAGGGGATCTCAGCACTGCCCTGTGTGCTGCCTTGGGCGTGGTGCTGTATCACAGCAACAGAAGAGCAACCCATGCTCCGCCAAGGCAAAGGCAGCTAAATCACCGACACGGTCACAATCTGTTCACTTGGTTTCTTGATGCTGGAGAGATGGCTCCATTGCTAAAGTGCTAGCAAACATGAAGACCTGAGCTTGATCCCCAGAAATCAAGGAAAAAGCTGGTTGTGGCAGCTCGTTCCTGGAACCCCAGCACCGTGGAGGCAGAGGCGGCTTGCTTGCCAGCCAGCTTAACTGAACTGGAGAGCTCCAGGCTCATCGAATGACCCTGTTGTGGGGAAATAATCTTTTTTGTACACTGTGAAGATGTGTCATTCTGATTGGTTTAGTAAAAAGCTGGACAGCCAATAGCTAGGCAGGATTTTCAGGCACATGGAATGCTGGGAAAAAGAAGGGGGAGTTGCCAGACAGACAGAGAGAAAGCAACATGGGCAGTATAGAGTAAAGGTAGTAAAGTCATAAGACAAAGAATAGATGGATAAAAATGGGTTAATTTAAGTTGTGAGAGCTAGTTAGTAACAAGCCTAAGCTATCAGCTGAGCTTTTATAACTAATAATAAGTCTCCGTGTCACTATTGTTGAGCTGGTGGTCCCAAAAAACATGTCTAACTGCACCCTATCTCAAAAAATAAAGTGAATAAGCAATTTAGAAGGTTACTTGACCCTGATCTGTGGCCTCCCTGTGCTTAGTTTTGTGTGTGTGCATATACATATACACATGCATATACGCACACACCTAAAAGGTTTATTTTTTAATTATTTGCTTAATTTTTGCATAGCTAAGCTTTGGTTACTTCATGATAATTTGGGTAAGGCAGCAGAAGGGCTTCTTGTTCTATGTCATTAGATATCAGTGAGACTTGTTTTTCCAGTAATGCTGATTAGCAGTTACTGTCTGGGTACTTATTGTGTGTATCTCTATGAACCCAGAGTTCAAGCTCAAACCCCAGCTCTGCTGTGAGATGCAGTTATGTGACTGTTTTCTCCAAGGCAGGCATCAGAGAGAGCTTGGCGCTGCTGCCTCTTTTGGCCTTGACCTTTCGGCAGTAGCCAAGGCTTCCCTGGTGCCTCCTGGCCTGGGTGGTGCGAGCCACGTGATCTGCCTGCCTGTGTCTGCTTTGGGGTCTTCACTGGAAGAGAAGGTGCCATGATTTGGGAACATAAGGTGTAGCTTCATACCTGAGTCTAGAAGCTCTGTGGTTACACTCTACAACTAGGCTCAGTTCTAGTCCTTTGAAAGTCACTTAAGCCACCAAAATGCCAATTGCCCCTTTCCTGGTGATATTCTAATGAGGGTTCCTAAAGATATAAATCTTGCAGCTTCTCAAAAGATACTTTCCTTAATTATTGACGTTTGTGCATTTCCTTGGCTCGAGATGACAATTTGGTAAGTTTCCACAGACTTAAATCATTTTCCAGGTATTGTCAAGTGTCATAACTGTACCAAATAGATGACTTTGTCGTTCAGACCAATGCAGTTTTTATGAGGCCTACAAAAGTGTCCGTCAGTTCTTTCTTGTCCTTCAGTCCCCTTATCTTTTTTATTTCTCCAGGTCAACATCTCTCAGAAGGGTGGTTTGTTTGTTTTTTATCTGAAGACTTCTGCCATCGCTCCTTTTGTGTGGTTGGATGTAGGAAGCATCCCAGGGAGATTTAGTGATAATGGCTTCCTCATGACGAAGAAGACGCATTCTGTACTGTTTTATCCTTGGAAGCTCACCAGCAAGAGTGAGCTGCGGCAGGCTCTCAGTGTGACCTCCCTGACAGACATCTACTGAAGGGACATGTGTGGGTTGTATTTCAGCTGACACTGGGAATGAAGCCTTTCTAAAGCATGGCTGGAGAGAGAGTCAGCCTGAGGTAAAGTGAAGAGGCCACGGCACATCTGCCAGCTGGTGTGCGCTAACCGTCTGCTCGTCCAGTTTTACAGCGAATGCTTTCAAAGATGGCTGATCACCCAGGTGATGCTCTTAGACAAGGTCATTCCCAGGTGTTCTTGAATCTTTCAGGATTGTGTTTTTTGAGCTTTGTCCCACAGCTAAAGTGCGACCAGAAAGAAGAGTTACAAACCTGATGATCTTTTGGGGAGCCGCTGCATTGTGACATTGCCTTGTCACAATATGTGCGGAACTAAATGTGGAGGTTGTCAATAATGCAGGCCTTTCATAGTTGTGTGGAACCCTACCCACTGAAGACACAGTGTGCCTGTCATTGCCAGAGGACATGGGAGCTCAGATGCGACAATAGAGATTGCTTGATGGCAGCCATTTTGATTGCTCTTAGTTGACAGTGGAGGGACTTGATGACTGTCATTTGATCACCATCTTGACATAGGATCCCTTTTTTTTTTTCATCTGGTTTGTTCTTAAAAGACCATGGGAGTGATCTTTCTTTAAAAAGACATTCCTATAGTCCCAGCACTCTGGAGGCAGAGGCTGGAGGCTTACAAGGTCAAGGCTGGCCCTGACTACACTGTAGAATTTTTCTGCTATCTTGGCCCTAAGGTTTCATGTGAGCATTAGGCTTCACTCTGATTCTGATGAGCTTCCTAATCCAAAGGTATGAGCTGCATTTAAACTCGTCGGCTCTGGGGTGGAAGTAGTAAAAGATGGTAATAAGTAACTAATTTGGGTACAGGTTTGTGGACTTTTTTATACTACTTTTGTACTTTTTCTGTATGTTTAAAATTATATAAAAAGCCGTAGGCTACACAAATTGCATTGACAACTTGATAGTTCATCTGCTTCACTATTTAATAAACATTCTGTGTTGTGCAATGCTGCATTGAAGATTCATTTCTGCTTGATAAATGAAAGAATTTGAAGAATATAAATGGAGACTACTGGAAAGCATTCATAATTACTTAATGAAATGGGCAGGCAATGAGTATTTTTATTTAAACCTGAGACTCATTGAGTAATGGTTTTGTTTTTAAAACTGAGGAGCATTAGGTTGAGGAACCCTGAAGAGAAGATGAATACTACAGGCTGTTCAGTCCTTTCCTTCAATACCCAAGAGTTTCCTCATCTTACAGACACACACACACACAAACCCTCCCTTCTCTCACATGAGGCTGCTCAAGGTCTCCACCTCGCTGAGGGCAGCAGAGGCCCTTGCTCTTCACTGACTGGATGGGTTCCACATGAGAAGCCCGTGAAGTAGGCTCTGAAGCTGATAGACTAGCAGCTATATCCAGTCTACATCCTGTGGGAGGACAGGTGTGAAATTGCTTAATTTTAATGTGTGGAATCAAATGTGGAAGTTGTGAGGTGATAGCACTATGTAACGCTACCTACTGAAGACGAAGTGTGTGGCTATTATTGCCAGAGAAAAGAGGAGCTCTTAGTCCACCGGGACGAGAGAGATGGCTTGAAAGCTAAGAGCACTTGCTGCTCTTCCAGAGGACCAGAATTAGGTTGCCAGCACCCACATTAGACATCTTTCAACTGTCTGTGCCTTCAGGTCAAAGGGCTCTTGATGGGGGATGTCTTTCTCTATTGGTTGGTGAATAAATGCTGACTGGTAAATAGCCAGGCAGGGAGTAAAGGCAGGACTACCAGAGGAGGAGAATTCTGGGGAGAGGATGCAGAGGGTGAGCCTCCAGAAGGATGCCATGTAGCCACCAAAGGAGTAATAGGTCTGGGCATTCTCCTGTAAGCCAAGACAACATGGAAATACTTAGATTACTAGAAACGGGTTAATAATTAAGAGAGAGCTAGTGGATAAGAAGCCTGAGCCATCAGTCAGACAGTTTATAATTAATATAAGCCTCTGTGTATTTATTTTGAACTAAGAGTGGCAGGACTAGGCAGAAAAGAAACTCTGTCTGCCGGCTCTGATACCCTCTTCTGGTCTCTGTAGGTACCTGCACACACAGTATGCGTGCCCAACCATGCATGCATGCATACACACACACATGCACATATTTTAGAAGTTATGAGGCCTCTTTTTGGGAACTCATTGCATGGTTCTCTAAGTGTAAATTTTGCAGATGATAACATCATGTCACAATGTTTACATTGGGTTCTTTGAATGTAATCTTTTCAGTAAGCATGGAAAATGATAGTAGGCAGAAAGGACATTGCTAAGACTTATTTCCTTTTATTCTGTGTGTACGAGTGTTTTGCCTGCATGTATCTATGTACTTTTTTTGTGAGCCTGGAGCCATCAGAGGCTTTCTAACTTCCATGGTCACCTGCACGCATATAGTGCACATAGACCCATAAGCAAATCTAGAAATAGAAATAATAAATCTTAAAAAAGAGAGTCCCAGTTTGCCAGGCCATGCTTGTTACTCCCATCTGCAGTTAGCTGTCATCATCTGCCTAGTTAATCTTGAGATCCCTGCTATTACAGGGAGAACTAGGCACACTCCATAGAGTCTGTCGATGAACCTGTAAATAGACACCCCAGGCAGGTCTGGAATCTGAGAATGGCAGTCACCAGGCACCTTTCCCCAAGGAAGCTTACAGAAGGCTACATATCCCATTGCCCATATAAGGGATACATTTCAGTCCTTGCTTCCATGACATCTTCCAACACACATTGCTTCTATGGAATTTCCTCCCCTGCCTCTGCCACCCAGGAACCAGAGGCAGCCTGGGTGATGGGTAAAGGATGGTGCTTTCAACTTTTCCTCACTTCCTCTGAGACCTATAAAAAGAGGCCCGTACCCCTGCCTTGTGAACCCGAGCCTCCTCAGAGTCCTTGCCATGTCACTATCTGTGTGTGTGGTGATCTATTGTTTCTAACCTAACAAAGCTTTCCTAGAGACCAGAATGCAAAGCTAGCTACAAACCATAGAGGCCAGGCAGTGGTAGCACACACCTTTAATACCAGGACTCAGGAGACCGAGACAGATGGATCTCTGTGAGTTTGAGGCCAACCAGGGTTACCTGAGAGTGAATCAGTCTAAAAGAGAAACAGAGCTCATGCCTTTAATCCCAGCACTGGAGAGGTATATAAAGCAAAAGCAGGGTCTTAGGAAGGCAATTAGTCTCCAGCCACCCTGAGTGAATCTGAGGAGCAGTGCAGTCTGAGGACAGGCTCGCCCCTTCAGTCTGAGCGTTGGTAGAGATGAGAACTCTCTACTGCCTGGCTGCTTTGTTTTTTCTGATCTTCAGCTTGAACCCCGATATCTGTCTCTGGCTTTTTATTATTTGTGCTACATGTGTGCCCATAGCATTAATCATTATTCCTTTTTAAACTTCATTTGTTCTTTATGTTTTTCACACCATGTATCTCGATTCCATTTATTTCCCCGTCCTTTCATATCTGCTCTTGCAATCCCCCCCCCCACAAATAAAATAAAATTTAGGAGAAAAAGGAAAATAAAGGAAAAATTTCATCATGGAAGCTGTAGTATGACCCAGTGAGTCACACTGTAAACCCTCTTGTCTACTTACCTTTACTTGAGGGTGTTCATTGCAATGAATCATTGATCTGCTTCCAGTCCTCTGGTTTTTGCTGCACCGTCGTTACTTGGCCCCTCACTGGAACTCCTCTTGGATATCCTGTTGCTGCCGTGTGCCGTGGAGATCCTATAGTTTTGGATCTGTAGGACTGGCCCCTTCACGTGATCCTGCAAACCATGATTGGGGTGGATGCTGGAGTGGACCGACTCATAGCCCTGGTTCTGGGCCTGGGTCATTGCAGGATTCATCAGCCTGCCAGTTCTCCCCTGTCCTCACCACCAGGGTGAGCTCTCAGGCATTGCCCCGGCTGGTTCACCCCTTGCAGCAATGAGCAAGGGGCGGGGCCGGTTCTCCTGCTTTCACGCCCTCAGGGTCGGCTGTCCCACACCTATCAGGCCTAGTTCCTACTGTGTTGCCCAGATGAGGTACAGGGGCAGCTCTCCTGAGTGCTGCAGCTGGTGAGGGGCAGGGACAGCTCTCCCATCTCTCCCCTGCCCACATCACCACATGGCAGATGAGGGGTGGGGCCAGGTCTCCCAAGCTCAGGTTCTCAGGCTGGTTCATCCATAACCCTGTCAATAGGGTCAGCTCTGTGTACTGCCCAGGCAAGGTGCAGGGTCCTGTAAAGGGAAACCTTTTCCTTGAGAGAAGCCTTCCTGCCAGCCTGGTTCCAGAGCTGCATCAGTCCCAAGTAAACACACAGGAGGCTATATTAATTATGAAGCTGTTGGCCTTGCTTGTTTCTTACTGGCTAGCACTGACTTAAGTAATTACCCCATAATTGTTAATCTAAGTATTTCTCTTACCGGAGAATAGTTCTGGGCTTCCTACCCAGAGTCCTCCTGGACTCCTAGTCCCACCTATCTAACTTCCCTATTAGCCAACAGTGCTTTATTGACATAATCACAGGACTTTCCCCATCAGGGTCCACTTTCCTGAATGCTGCAGCTGGTGAGGGGCAGGAACAGCTTCCTCATGCACCATAGGTGACAGGGTCAAGGGTGGGGGCATCTTTCTCTCACTCTCACCACCACAAGGCAGACAAGGGGTGTGGCCAGATATCACACCCTCAGGGCTAGTCACCCACGCCTCCCCCAACAGGATCAGCGAGCGCTACTGTGCCACTCAGGCAAGAAGCAGGGCCCCTTTTCCTGAGAAGGGAGGGGAAGGGTTGGCTTGTCTGTAACAGGCATCGAGGGGCAAGGCATAAATTAATCATTACTCTAGTAGCCTTCTTACCTAGAAGGACAATCTGCCTCAGTGTCCCCCTGGAACCCCATACTCGAAATCTTTCAGGAAGGCCATCTTATCCAGCATTTTGGGAAAATTGGTTTTGGAAAACATTATAAAATGAAAACATTTCAATGGGTCTCCAGAGGCTTTCTTTATAATTAATATATAAAGAAGAATACAAGACCAGCTGGCCAGCTAGGCCAGGCTCCGCTGTATAAGCTAACCTGCCAAGACATCTTTGACCCCTTGAGCAGGAGCCAATCAATTATGGGCTTTGTAGAAATAATAGCAATGTGTCCTTGTCTTGTGTGATAAATATCCATCCTCATGTTTGTACACAAGAGCCACCAGGTTCAGTCGTAAAGGGGAAGTTTGCAATAATAGTGTAGTTTGATTCTTCAGCCCTTTAGGAAGACTTAGCAAGCTCTCGTGTGCCAGCTCATGCTGTGTAGTGATGGAATCTCCGAGTGACAATCCATACACATTACCCAGAAGCTCTTGGGAAGGGGCACATTTCTGTTTGACAACTGGCATTCGTTCTTGCCTCTAACACATTTGGGAACACCCTCTTATTATTCTGTTATCATTCTTTATTATTGCCTTGGTAAAATTTTGGGGGTCCAGAGAGAGTGCACACATTCCCAGGGGTTGGAGCAGCTACTACAGACTGGCCAGGCAACAACCAGACTGTCTGTTCTATGAAGGAGGCCGTGTCCAGCTCCAGGGAGTGAATCATACCCTGTTGAACCAAACATATTCCCCTTTGTCAGTGGTGGTGTATGGTTAAGCATGCGATGTAAATTGGTATCTTGATAACTCCTGCCTCGTAAGAGAGATACTGGAGGGGCTGGAGAGACGACTACGTTGGTTGAGAGCACTTGCTGCTCTTCCAGAAGGCATGGGTTTTGCTTCCCAGCACCCACAAGAAGTCTCACAGTCATCTGTCATTGTAACTGCCAAGGATCAGACACCCTCTTCTGACCTCGGGCACCAGGCACGCAGATGGTGCAGTCATACAGGCAGGCGAAACACTCATACACATAAAATCTTCTAAAGAGAGATACTGGAAGTGTATCTTGCTACTGGACGTAGCTGAGAAACATCTATTTGGAGACCTGACATTTAAGAGCTGTTGATGAAACAGTGTTGACAGGGACAACAATGGTGTAGAGCTGTTAAGTTAGACCTCCACCCTTGAACTCGGGTCTTAGAGTACCAAAAAGGCCTCGTCTGTTCCATCTACTTGCAGTGAGGTCTTCTGATTTGACAACCACAATCATCCTAATTGACACAATTAAAGGAATGAGCTTTGGCCTCAGACATATTTGGCACCTGTGTTTGCATACTGAGCCAATACCAGCAGGTTTGAGTCTTTCTGTTCCTTAATCTCTATATTTTCTATTTGTGTGCAAGGTACATGTATATGTTTGCAAACATGCATGTGAGGTCAATGTTCAATGTCTTCCCAGAACTCTTTCTACTTTATTTATTTAGCTTTTTGAGACATGGTTTCCCTGTGTAGCTTTGGAGCCTGTCCTAGAACTCACTGTGTAGACCAGACTGACCTCAAACTCAAAGATCCTCCTGCCTCTGCCTCCTGAGTGCTGGGATTAAAGGCATGTGCTACCACCGCCCGGCTCTACAATATTTTTTTTGAGGCAGGGTCTCTCTCTGACCTGCAGCTCACCGATTCAACAGGGCTGGCCAGCCAATGAGCTCTGGGATCTGCCTGCCTCTGCTCTCCCTGCTCCTAGGTTCCAGGTGTGCCCCACGGCGCCTGGCTTTTACAGATGTGTAGACGTGCAGATCCTCACGCTTCAGCTGCAGGCACTTTACCGTCTGAGGCATCTTCCCAGCCCTTCTCTGCCTTAGCTTTATGCATATAATATATAAGTATAATTCAAGCCACCTCGTGCGTTAGCTGTGAAAACTAAATGAGATGATCGATAATGGTAGCATGAGTACAGCAATTGTGAGCTATTGTGCTTATTGCCCCACATGAAGGCAATGGGACAGGTCTACTAGGGAGGTGGGTTTATTTGCATCTGGGCAGGCATCTCAAGGTAGCTGGGAACAGTGTCACCTAGAGATCCAGAGGGAGTGAGGAGGCAGCAAGCGCCCCATTATGCTACCCTGACTGGCTGTCCTGAAGCCACCCTTGGATAAAGTCACAGAGCCCATTTGGCTGGCAGATGAGGGGTCCAAAAGCGATCAAGAAATTTGAATGACCTGACAACATTTAATAAGGGAAAGTTCATGCAAAATAATGGATTTACCTGTCTCTGATCTTCATGCTATTGAAAAAAACCGTAAAGCCTGTATTTGTTGAATTCACTCATAATCAGGCAATCTCATCTTGTAATCGATCAAAATCACCTTCACAAAATAGGCCTTGGGGAGAGCAGGGTGGGCATGTGGGCTTCCCCTCAACAGTGGGGTGCTGGGCCACCCATCCCCTGGGCTTGGATGCAACTTCCTTTAACTCCAACATGTGTTAATCTTGAACCAGTCACGGAACATCCAAGCTTTAATTTCCTTATCCTATAGACGTGGTCAATAGGTCAAATGGGATCAGCCTGTCCGGTGCCGGCTGGGATAAGCTCACAGTAAATGCTGCCTAATGGTTACTGTTCTCCAAAAGAGTGTGGGAGCCGGCAGGCCTAGGGAGTCTCTTGGCCAAAGTGAGTTATTTGAAGGCTCACTCCTAGGGGGTGGGGGTGGGGATGATTCCAGGCTCTATGACCCGAGTTGAAGAAGCAGAAAGATGAATATACCCTCTTCCTTTTTCGGTATGGCTCGGGCCAATTTTATCTAAAGCAAAGCAAAGTGCTGCAGGAGGTAGGGCCCCTGCTGGGTGACGGCGCAGGGCTCTGCAGCTGCCCACAGAGGCGACTTATCTCCTATGCACAGGAAATGAGGCTGCTAGGAGGTGGCAGGCCAGGGCCTGGCCAAGTCTGGCTTTTCTCAAGCTCCCTGGGGGGTGGGGGGTTCTGCACCTTGTGCAGGGAGGGTGAGGAAGAGCCTGTGGGAGCTGGCTGCCACTGCCCGGAGTGTGTGCATGGGTCGCTGTTTTAAAGAAGGAAGGCAGAGAAATGACGGGTGAAAGGAGCTGGGGGGAGAAGATGATACGAAGGGAGAGAGAAAGTGGGGGAGACAAAAGGAAAGGGAGAGAGAGAGACAGGAAGAGGGCTGGAGAGAAAGGAGGAAGAGCAAGAAAGGGAAAGAAGGAAGGGCTGGGGAGGGGAGGCGGGGGAGGGGAGAGAGAAGTAAGGAGGCTGCAGCTCTCTTACCGGGGCTCCCGCATCTTTCCAGGCTCCCGGCAGACCGACAGGCAGCAGCAGGGCTGGGTCACAAGCTTCCAATAAGCAGAGCAACTTCCTGCTCTACTTTTCGTTTCTACCCATCCTGCTGCCCTGGCAGAAAGGTAGCAGCCGCGTGATTGTTAATGTGTGGTGTGTGTGTGTGTGTGTGTGTGTGTGCATGCAGTGTGTGGTGTGTGGTGCGTGCATGTGTGTGTGTGTGCATGCAGTGTGTGGTGTGTGGTGCGTGCATGTGTGTGTGTGTGCATGCAGTGTGTGTGACATGTGGGGTTGTGTGGTGTGTGTGTGTGTGTGTGTGTGCATGCAGTGTGTGGTGTGTGGTGCGTGCATGTGTGTGTGTGTGTGCATGCAGTGTGTGGTTGTGTGGTGTGTGTATGTGTGTGTGTGTGGTGTATGAGTGTGTAGTGTGTGTGTGGTGTATGAGTGTGTAGTGTGTGTGTGTGTGTGTGTGTGATGTGTGTTTGTATGTGTGTGTGTGGCCTGTGTGTTTGGTGTGTATGTGTGCGTGTGGTGTGTATGTGTGTGTGTGGTGTGTATGTGGTGTGTGTGGGTGTGTGTGGTGTGTGTATGTGTGTGGCATGTGTGGTTGTGTGGTGTGTGTATGTGTGTGTGTGGTGTGTATGTGTGTGTGTGGTGTGTATGTGTTCGTGTGGTGTGTATGTGGTGTGTGTGGGTGTGTGTGGTGTGTGTATGTGTGTGGCATGTGTGGTTGTGTGGTGTGTGTATGTGTGTGTGTGGTGTATGAGTGTGTAGTGTGTGTGTGGTGTATGAGTGTGTAGTGTGTGTGTGTGTGTGGTGTGGTGGTGTGTTTGGAGGTCTCAGGACAACTTTGTGGAGTCAGCTCTCACCGTCCACCTTTCTGTGGTGTCTAGGGAGCTTGTGTGAGCACTCACCTTTACAAGCAGAGTCACCTAGCCAGCCTGGAATGATTTCTAATTGAAATTTAATTACTGTGACTCTGGAAACTTGACAGGAAGCCTCTGGAATAGAAGAGGGAGGCACCAGAAGAGCTACAAAAACGCCTCAGTAACAAAGGAAAAGATGTGGCCACCCGCTGCTGTGTGGCAGCTTGTGGCTCGCCTGTGGAAAGGGATGCCTTCCCCTTCCAAGTTGCTCCTCTCTGCAGCCTTAAGGAGCCCCTCTGCCCCTCAGAGCCACATGCTGTGTGCATATGCGGTTCCCAAGTCACCTTAGGCTTTTGGCTGGATGGTGGGGAAGGCAGAGCCAAACGATGTCTGTGCCCTTCAAGGGGTCAACTGGGAAGGCTGTAGGGAGGCTTATACATAGATCTGAGTGGTTCACAGAAATACTTGGTTGGCCCACACTCCTGGGAGTACTGTGTCCCAGACAGTGACGGAGAGGTGCAGGGACTATGGGGCCCTAGGAAGAGCGTAGGAAGGGTCGTTACTAGCTCTGGTGGCAAAGCCTGCCTGGGTGGCTGCGGAAGGACTTCACAGAGGTGTCCCGAACAGTCCTCTTGGCCTCTCTGGTCTACCGGACCTTCTGTTGGGAGGCAGGATTCAGTGTGGGGGGAGCAAGGACGGAGTGCGGGTGGGTTTTGGAGGGCTGGGTACTTGTTGAGGTATGCATGCGGGAAGTAAGGGCAGGAAGTGTTGAGAAACAAGCATCTGGGGGCTCCCATGCCAGAGGGAAGGGGCCGGAAGGAGAAGGGTGAAGGAAGGCCCCTCCTGTCCTGTCCTAGAGCTCTCTCTAGTTTTGGTGTTCTTGGCTGAGTTAGTTTGGTGGACTGTTGTCTTCCAGCTGTTGGGCCAGCTGTGAGTAATGTCCTTCGGTGCCCCTGACCCGCAAGCTGCTCCGGCTGGCACAACCGTGTGACTGATTTGTTCCTCCAAGGCAGCCATGCACTCTGTGACTGGCTTTATTAAAGAGCGAGGCTGAGACCCAAACAGTGCAGACCGAGTGTTGGTCCAGCTCTCTCTCTCTCCACAGACGGACCAGTCACCAGCACATAAGTCCTGTGGACGCCCATCTACCTCCGAGTGTTACAGAAATAAATATTGGGAGATGTTTTTAAGTGGAAGTATTCACATTTAAAGATATGTGTTTAATTTTGTAAGGTTGTTGTTTCCAAATCACAGGAAGGAACCTACTTCAAATGGGTAAGGAACAGGCACATTTGGTCAGGAGATAAAACAGGCATGCTGCATAGCAAAATCCATGCTATGAAGCGCCTCCTTCAAATCTCCGAGTTATTCTGTAATCTAAGTTGTACACTGTTGCTTTGGGAAAGGGAAGATGACCTTCAAAATCACCACCATCACCATCATCATCACCATCACCATCATTTGCTTTGGAGACAGGATCTCACTATACAGTCTAGGTTGGCCTGAAACAGATGTTAGTCTCCCTGTCTCAGTCTCCTGAGCTCTGGGAATACAGGCATGTGCTCCAAGCCTGGCTTTACAAAACAGCTTTGGAAATGCAGAACCTGTCTCTTTCAACATGGAGCAGACCTATCTGGGGACTTGGTGTCTAACATCAAGGTTGGGCCTTTCCCAGTGGGAGGTGTTTCTTGCTCTTTCGGGCTTTGTGTTTTTAACCCCAACTCTGCTTTCTGGCACTGACTGAGTGGAATCCTGGAGAAGGGCTCTTACTTTGTCTGTTAGGCTTCTGGCCTGGTCAGAAGAAACAGAATCTCCTAGAAGCAGCCCCTGCCTCTTTCCCTTGGCTGTCAAGGTGGTGCCAGCTCTCTCCAGACAGGGCATGATCGGCCAACCACCTTGCCCCATTCCTTCGAGTGGGATCCCAATGGGCTTCCTGAAGAAATGAATCTGTAAGTCCTGCCAGTCGAAGGTCTCTTACACAGTGTTGGAGGGACAGCTCTATGCTGAGCCACACCCCAGCCTCTGAATAGGTAACCCTTCAAGATCCCTGCCACATCCATTACCAGGGGAAGCGTAAGTCAGAAAGAACATTTTCCTGGAAAACACAAAACAGGAAGAAAGGGACAGTGGCCTCTAGCCCATGAATAACTCATGCGTGTGCATCTTGGCTCACTGGTAGTTGGTTTTACCAAGCAATATATATGTCTTTTTCGTGACAGTCTCGGCTCCCTTTGTGTATGGGTCGATATATTATGATTCCACCATTGCACAGAGTGTCCACATTTTTATAAAAACAAGCTAGTTTTTCAACAGAGACTTCAAGCAGCCTCAAAGATAGTCTTTGGAGTTAGTCAGACCTCAGTTTGAGTCTGGGATGAGCCAAAACTGAGCTTTGTTTGTGTATCGGAAACGGGTTGAATACCCACTCGTTGCCTTCTGGAGAATTATTAGTAACCCTTGATTGGAAGGGACTGGTGTGTAAAGACGTTCATTCGGGCTGACTCCTTCCCCTTTGCTTTTCTCTGCTACGATTTAACAGGCTCTGGCTCTGTACGCTGTGCTGGTGACCACAATGTCTGTGTTGCAGAGAGCTACCGCAGGGGACCCAAATGAGCAACAGCAGGGCTTCCTTCTGCTGAAGAAGGATGGCTGCGGGTCCCGAAAAGGTCTGGGTTATGCCTGCAGAGTACAGAAACCTCAAAAGATGACTGAAGTTCTGAGGAAGCTATTTTTGAGGGGTGGCCTGCTGTGAGACTAGCTCTCTGGGCAAGCTTATTTCAGGCCCATTGTAGCATCCCACCTGACCATCTGCTCTGCCTCTGGCATTTATCTCCTCCCACAGAGGGGCAGGCGATGTTGGCTGCCTTCCTGTGGACTCTCTAGACCTGGGTAAGAAGGGGAAGTTTCTGGAACAAAGAAGAGCCAAGATTTCTTATCAAAGAATAGAAATGCTAATTTCTATATTGGCATGGACAGTCTGGCTGGTGTCTCTCACATCAGTATCTGTCAATCTTACCTATCTATCCATCCATCTATCTATCTATCTATCTATCTATCTATCATCTATCTATCTCTCTATCAATGTATCTATCTGTCTATCAATGTATGTATGTATGTATGTATGTATGTATAGGGCTGGAGGGATAGCTCAGCTGTTTAAGGCTAGGTTCACAACTAAAAATATAAGAGTATATATGTATGTATCTACCTACTTACCTGCCTGCCTATCTATCTATCTATCTATCTATCTATCTATCTATCTATCTATCTATCTCTCTATCAATGTATCTATCAATGTATGTATGTATGTGTATGTACAGGACTGAAGGAATAGCTCAGCTGTTAAAGGCTAGGCTCACAACCAAAATATAAGAGTATGTATGTATGTATGTATCTACCTACTTGCCTGCCTATCTATCTATCTATCTATCTATCTATCTATCTATCTATCTATCTATCTATCATCTATTCATTTATTTTTGATTTTTGAGACAGGTTTCTGTGTGTAGCTCTGGCTCTCACAGAACTTGCTCTGTAGACCAGGCTGGCCTCGAACTCAGAGATGTGCCTGCCTCTGCTCCTGAGTGCTGGGATTAAAGGCGTGTGCAATAACTGCCTGTCTTAAGTCAGTATCTTTTTATGCTGAACTGCACTTTCTCATGTCTCATCAGAAACCTGGGAAATGGTGATATCCACTCTACATCCAGGGCTTAAAACCCTCACTGGCATTTGTTTTCAAATCTGTCATTTGAGCAGGACAGCAAAACAGCCTGTCTCTATTATGGGCCACATCTGCTGAGGTAGGCCTAAAGGCCAGGCGGGGTCACCTGGCGGCTGGTAGGTTGGTTTGGCTGGCATTGACTAGGATCTTGGTTAAGGCTGTTGACTGAACACCGGTGCTGGCCTTCTCTACGTGGCTGCTTGGCTCTCTCTGAACGTGGTAACTGAGTTTCCAGGAGAACGCCCAGGAGGGCTGGCAGAAGTTGGGACCTAAATTTGGAAGTTACTCTACATCTTCTCTGTCCTGCTACATGTGGCTTAGACTCAGGAAGAGATGGACTCTTTCTCTCAGTGGGATGGGTATCAACATCATGTTCCAAGAGAGGACCTGGCTGAGGAATGGGGGCATGGTTGTTCCAAGAAGTATTAAGGAACACCAGAAAAATACTTTTTTTGCTTTATAGTTTTCAAAAGTCAGAATAACAAGGGTGTGTCAGGGCAGAGAAATGATAATATAATAGAACACAGGAGTTTCTTTTTAGCAATGTTCTGTTTATTTG